AAACTTTGATCAACCTAAAGACTAATTTTAATCATTCAGTTGAGTAAAAATTCTATTAAGTTCTATTCTATTCTATTAAGATAAAGTTTCTAAATCTGGTGTGAGAGAGTGCCAGATGACTTCAGACCCGATATTCCGTTAGCTTCATAATTAAATGGTCATAATTAACTTCCAATGTTGAAATAAATGCGGAGACAATTAATTTATCCCAAAATGCATGCCACTTGGCTTAGAAACTTGTTCTAAACTAGTTAAAAATGCAAACTCATCAAAACTCATCCCAGACTAAAAAACAAAGGAGAAATCTGCAATAGAATCTAGGCGGCTGTAAAGTTTTGCACCCCCTAATTTTTAAATTTTGTGCGAAAAAAATAGTGTGCGATGTCTTTCGACTTTATGGCTAATGACAGTTATAAAGGATAGTGTTCTACGCATAATAGCCAAATTTGGTACTTTTTTGATGACGCAACCGTAATTGGTAACGAAAATCAGGGTGGCTGTAAAGATTTGCACCTGACTGTATGTATACCTCTATATGTATTTATTGCATAAGAATTAAATTGCATAAAATTCTCATAAATTAAATTCTTAATCTAACAATGATTATACTAAACTTTTGTGATTAATACAATCAAAGGATTTCGAATTATAAATTTCGGTAGCCTATTAATAACCATCATAACAAAATAAACCGTAGTAACGTTAGAAGTAGCTCACCGTGTAACAATAATTTAGTTATAACTTGTCCCAAAGGTGAAGAAAAATCGAATAAAATAGAGCAATAATTTTTACGCAATATTGCACCAATGGTACAGAAAAACTAAACAAAATAGATTAATAATTTTTATGCAGCGATTAAAGTACAAAATATTTTGCAACACTGTTGCATAATTAGCTAGGAACGGGGAGCCATAATTTTGAAAAATTGATGTCAAAATTGTGAAATAAAATCCGCCGACTTGTACATATACGTTGGTGTTTTATTATTAATTTTCAAAAGGTATGTTCCGCACTGTTTCTGACCAAACTTTTGATGACATAACAAACTTCAAATACTTTTAGGATGCTGTGATTTTTTTCAGTTCTGTAGGTTAACATTAACACTAGCAATAACTCATTAAAATTTACCTCGAAAATATGCCAAAATTTACGACTTGATTTCATTATCATCCGAAAACCGTTTTCCCCTGATGTTTTTCTTTAAGTTTCGAAACGAATAATAATCACTAAGGGATAAGTCTAGACTGCACGGGGCGTGGTTTGTGCAGGTAAAGCGATTTTCGTCTGCACTAACCCTCGCAAAAAGCCAGGTATTAGGTGGCGCGTTGTCGTCTAAAAAAAGGCCAACTCTTTATTTTGACCCCACGTTTCTTTTCAACCGGAGGACGCAGCTCCTTCGGGGTTCCTGCATACACGGCCCCATTTATTGCAGTATTTCCAGCAATAAATTTTATAAGGAGGGGACCTTTGGTATCCTTGAAAATGGTCATCATCAATTTTTTTGTCAGATTTTTGCACTTTTCAATTCACGGGCGGTGGCAACCCCTCGTGCTTCCAATGAGGGAATTATTATTTGGTCACCGGGTCATAATAGTAAACCCAAGTACCATATGCAGCTAATAAAATATTGAGCAGGTTCCAGTTTTCATTTAATAGGTTAAAATTTGCATTGCAAAAGTCGACTCGATCCTGTTTGTGAGATGCCGAAAGCAATTTTGGTACCCAACGGACGGAAACCATTTTCATACCTAAGTCTTCAGTTAACATGGAACAAATTGCTGGTTTTGGAACACCCATCTCATCTGCTATATAGGACAGTTTCAATCGCCGATCTCTCATTATTGGTTCCTCTAGTTTCCGGAGCCTTTCTGTGGAAGAAGCGGATTTTGAGCATCCTTGCGACTTTTTGCCCGAGACCTCGTTTCGCCATCATTTAAAATTATTGACCCAATTGAATTTGTGTTTTGTGTTGGGCAGTTTTCATCGTAAGTTTTAAGCATTCAACCATAAATCTGCGACACGTATTGCCCATCCAGCATTAAAAATTAAATCACACTACGATATTTAATTTGCAAATCTAGCATTTTTTCCGTCGAGGTAAAGTTTGCCGATTTATTGCTAGTGTTTATGTTAACCCACAGAGTTGAAAAAAATCACAGCCTCCTAAATGTATTTGAAGTTTGTTATTTCATCACAATTTTGGTCAGAAACAGTGCGGAACATACCTTTTGAAAATTAATAATAAAACACCTACGTACATTATTGGTGCGCTATGCATCAAATCTCATAATTCTGTCGCATCATTTGTTGTTTCCGATTGTCAGATACCAACGGTACTATTAATTTATGAAGAAATGGACCTGGGACATTTTAATTAGCACCAATTGATACAAAAAGGTCGTTAACATACAGACGCACGGACAAGACTAAGAATAAGTCAATAGCTCCCGTGCTACGCAGGGTGAGCTAATAATTACTGGTGGATGACTTTTAAAAAGTATCATGTTCATTAATGTTAATTTAATCACAGAGTTTTAGATCTGGCGTTGTGAATACAAATTCTTGCGTGAGTAATCATTAGCTATGCATGTGCATAGATATGTACATGTATACGTACATACACTCTAAATACAAATGAGTGAAATTTACTTAACGTTTGATAAAAAAGGAGATGACACAACCAAAAGGAAAAATTTGTCCAACGTTTTACAAACCTTGACCAAATTTGTGTAAGATTTACCCAACGTTTGGTTAATTTTATCTTATAGTTGTGTTATCCTCTTTTTTACCCAATCTTGAGTAGGCTTTTGCTCATTTTTATTTTGGGTGCACATATTTATCATTAAAATTTAGGCAATCTGTTTTGTTAACTTAACGCTAATAAATTGATTGGTTTGCCAATTTTCACAGAACATAAAATAGTAGCGTATCGTAATTTTTTTGACAAATATAAAATACATTAGCTAAATGTAATACTAAACGACTGTATTTATGTATCAATGTATATATGTACGAACATGTTGTTGTTGTTGTTGTTAAGCCTTTATTCAAGTGTCAACAGAGATCAATTCATGACAAATTGGTTTACACACCATGACACAAATAGCAAAAAATTGTTTTAAAGCATCTAATCTAAGGATATAACTATATAAACAAGTGATCAAACATGGAAAAACAAAATAATTCCTAGAAAGAGAGTCAAAATTGTAACCAATATAGGCAATTCTCATATCCTTATCCTATTCCATATTGTTTAAAGTTACTGATACATAAATCGTACTTATGATTAAAACATGTAATAGTGTAAAGCATGTCATTATATTGACCACGTAAAGGATTCAGGATTCTCACTAATTTGCACATCAATTTTACATAAATAGTATCGTTACCGTCATTTTTATTTTTAACAGTCATCAATTTGCTCTTAAAATCTGGAACACAGTTAGGACAAGCCCAGTGTTTAGAAAGGAAAGAAATATAAGGTCATCACTTACCAGGAAACGATAGGCTTAAAACCACATTTGCCAAAGATTCGTTTCATTCAAATTTGACTCTGACTTAATGCAATGATGATTAGCAGGAGATTAACAAGACCTTTGTATTAAAAATAATGTTAAACCGGTGCTTCCCCACAATTCATGTCATCAACGTTTCCACTATTTTCTGTGGCAAGAAATTGCCCCTTTTAAGGACTTGGTCAACCATTGTCGAATTTATAGTTTCGAAAAATCACAATTCTTATGAATGTATGAAATCGAAATATCAACAATTTGCGGACTTTTATTCAAACTGAGACAATTTGCGTAATTGATGTGCAAAGAGCTGTGAGACTTTAGTTAAATATTTAGTATCTTATTTAGCTGGAGTCTTTTCCATAAATAATTGGTAGGCAGTCTCCGTTACGATGTTTAGTTACAATGGAGACGCAAACCATATTTAGCCCAAATTATGTTTTAAACATCTCTGTTTGGAAGAAAAACTCTTTAGAAACAACATTTAGGTGGGCACTTACGCAGATGCGCAAAATTTAGCACATTTAGCACAAGTCCGCAAAAACTCATGATATTTCATACTACGCCAGCTCAGCTCCTTGCCATCTCTCTTATCCCGGTGCGAGGACATGGACTCCGCAACGCCTCAGCATTGGCGTTTTTAATCAATAATGAGGAACTGTTTCATATATTTTTAGCTAATTTAAGTTACTGAAGTACGAATTTAGTACTTTATCCAGATTTGTCCTTATTAACCTTTTCTAGAATTTCAGTAATGATCTGCATTTTTAAGGGGGATATTTTCGAGGTTTTTAAGCACGTACAGGTATTTCTGAGGAATTTAAGTACATACGTATATACATATCCGCCCCTATGGTAATGTGTAATGCGTGCTTCTCATCCCGCATGTATATTTCATACTACATATGTAGTCAGGTATGACTGCATGCCATATCTACGTTACCCACGGAGGGCCCCAAATTCCTATTTTATTCCAGATTAAGAAAAGTGAAGGGTTCGTAAGTGACATATCTGTAAATGTGCTTGTGCTCAAGCCTAAGTCGCCTTTCGTCGTATCCTTTTGTGCAAACCATTCACCTGCACTTGCCGCCGGACTTACGTTACCACGCACAGTTCGTCCTCCACATTCTCTGGATAAGATCACTACTGTCTTATATGTGAGATAAGAACCTGATTAATTTTCAATTTAAACTCGAGAAAGATAAACGTGAGTAATCAACTGTTTACCGACGATTCATCTTCAAACCTTTCTCACCACAAATATTCAACTTGCTCTCATAAAATCCTCTAATAGAAACGAGCAGAGTTTTCAGAGTTTAAATTCAGACTCACCAATTTTAAATAAAATCTGATGCAGTAGTTACAATTTTTTTAGATAAAAACTGAACAAATACCGCATTCACATGGATATCCAGCTAGTGGGAAAAAAAGTGGGAATGTTCACAGTGCTCAAAAACGTGTAAGACCAATTCCCAGTTGATGAGACACATGGTCACGTACGATCCGGATGCCAAGGTCAAATGCGAGGTGAGCGTGAAAATTTGCAAAAGTGAGACTGTAATATTACAATCCAGATTTTCTCGTCTGTCTTATCTATTTAGGTATGCGGTATAATTTCCAAAAACAGAATCGCCTTAGATGTCCACGTGTCGAGATTTCAGAGCAATCGGACACGACCAAGTTGTGACACTTGTCACCAGACATTTTCCAGACTTTCCACTTTACGGCGGCATATTCGCTCTGCCCACATCACGAAGGAGCGGCCCCGTTTCCCCTGCACGTTACCCGAATGTGAAAAAACCTACCTAAATAAGGACCACCTTTCACGACACGTAAATTTTGAACACGCCGTGAATCCGGCCCGCTTTCGGTGCGCACTTTGCGGAATGGGAGTCAACAGGAAGGAGTTACTTGAGCGTCACATTCCCACGCACACGACGGAGAAGCCGTACAGTTGTGCTACTTGTGGGAAGAGTTTCACCGAGAAATCGCGCGTGAAAAGTCACGAGGTAAATAGGCGTGATTCGGTAAATAAGATTGAAACATTACCAACTTGTATGTTAATTTTACAGAAGACGCACCTAGAAAAGTCTAACCGGCTCATGGCAAAGTGTCCCTTGTGTCCTAAGACCTTCTTCACTAGAGATGGTCTACAAAAGCACATCCGAGTTGGACATGCAAATCGGAGGGATTATCCGTGCATATCTTGTGACAAGAGGTTCTCAAGCTCGTCACACTTGAAGCGTCACGTGGAGGCGAGGCATGTGAATGATAAAAAACTCATCTATTCCTGCGACAAGTGCGATTACAAAAGCCACTCGAGTGACAATTTTGCTTCTCACAGAGTACGTCACAATCCAGCGAAGCATGGTTGTTACTTCTGTGGGAAGAAATTCTTCCAGTCTTACGAATTGGCCTGCCATTTTCGAGTTCATACCATGGAAACGTAAAAATACTTAGGTAGATATATGATTGTGGGCATATCAATAGCTGAAAATATTGTTATTGTTAAAATATTTCACAAACGGATTTGTAATGCGAAACACATACGTTATTTAATGTTAAGTAAGTACGTTATTAAACAAGTGCGATCTTGCCAAAAATTTTACCAGGGCAAAAAATAAGACGCCCCAAGCTTAGTTATTTTTATCCAAGAATTTGACATGTTTTCACTCCTTGCTATGGTTAAGCAGGCAACGAACCAACATTGACTTTGCGCGTTTAATTACTCTTAAGCATATGTAGTTGTGATGGAAATAAAATTCCTGGAAATTCCTCCCCAATTTCGTATCGTTTCCCTCCTTGCTAGAAAACGCAACCTTTTTCACGTCGCAACTGCAGTGGCGGGTAAACCGGGTATGTGGCATAGGTGACACCTAGGGGACCCCGCGCAGCGGGGGCCTCCAGCCAGGCGTCATCTCGGTGCAGTGGCGGGTAAACCGGGGAGGTGAGGATGATGAAACGTAGGGGCCCCCGGTCTGCGGGGTCCTCGGGTGGGACTATATGTAAATTGTTAAAAGAATTGTCAGTTTTACTCCGAATTTCTAAATATAAATTCACGGATACTACGGAAATGCAAATAGTAGAATTAATCGGTGGTATGTTGTCACGTTTCATGTAGTTGGAGCAACCTCGAGCAAGTGGTTAAGCAGTTAAATACGGGTTTAGGGCATAATGAGGACAAACCAATATATTGATGCCATAAAACGGACAAAAAAAATTTGGACAATAAAAATCTGGATAATGTATAAATAAGGACACACTATAGATAGGCAAGTCTATTAAATTTAAACTCATAAAATTTGAGTGGTTTAGTTGTGTAACTTTATAATATTCGACTTTATGTCAGTTTCACAAACGCTAATTTTATAATTTCAGATCTCAGTTATTTGAAACCAGAAATTTTAGATACTGATTAACTTTCACATAATACGCTAATTCGCCTGTTCCACGCCTCGATACATTTCATAAAAACTACTGAATTTACGGTTTCAGGAGTTAGAATGCCAAGCTAGCCTTTAAATTTTTTATGGTCCCAAATGTGAGGATGCGTTTTAGGGAAATGCATAGGCTATTGTGTTCCTTTTCCAAAGTACACCAGTCATGAAAAAAATTGAAAAACTATTTTAAGGATCTTATTCTATTGCTGATCTCATGAGGCTGTCGCCTGCTATAATTTTTACAATTTTGTTCTGTGGGAGAGGTCCGAAATTAAAAAGAGAAGTTTCAGGTTCCACCATAATATTTTTAGGGAACGCATGATACCTGCAAGGAAATTAAACTTTTGACAGGTAAATAAATGGGGGTAGGTCTACGGCAGATCGGAATTATATGAAAACATGCAGCACGAAAATTTGTCAATTTTCCATTAGACTGCTGTCCATATTGTACCCTTGTCCTGGTTTTTTGTGTCCGTATTTTTTTATCCTTATTTTGCCCTGTCCAGTACCACGTTGTCCCAATTATGCCCGGGTTTAGGGCATAATGAGGACAAACCAATATATTGATGCCATAAAACGGACAAAAAAAATTGGACAATAAAAATCTGGATAATGTATAAATAAGGACACACTAAAGATGGACAACGTTGTCCCAATTATGCCCGGGTCCCGTTAAATGCGTAGATAATGTAGACATAAACGAAATATGTACTTTGTTAGGGGACGGATAATTTTTGGGGGCCCCTTCGGCATTTTAGCGAAATTACACAATTTGTTCCCTATGAAGTTTCAAGTTTGGTGGCATATATACTTGTTTAATCAAATGAAAAAGAATTTGTTCTTCTTAAATTAAAGGGTCTCTTAATCTACTCTCCAATCTGTTACCCGGCTTACGAATTCATTGCCTTCCGGTTTGCCAAGTGAAAGGTTCTTTGGCGGAAGTCATCTATTTCTGGGAACTTGGCAACATGTTAAAACTATTTGCTTTCAATTTATGAGTCAGATTAATTCTTTATAAATAATTAATTTCCACCGTCAAGCTAGAAAAAACGATTTAATTAAATTGAAAAAAATACGTATGCTATAACTTAGGATTAGCTTAGGCATGCTCAGGGCCTTTTCACCGAAATAATTTTAAGTTATTCATGCACACAAATAAGGGAAAACTAATTTTTCATTTAGCTAAATACGAGTAGTGCCGCCCTGTGAAGGAATTTTTGAATAATTTTCAGTAACTTACGATTTATCAAATAAGCTGTCTTTCAGACTTAACCAAATTTCAAACATTAAAGTACATTAAAGTACAAGTTTGCGGGGAATCAAATTAAGTAACTTAACAAAATTTACTTTTCAAAAACTTTCAAAAACTTTTTTCATCTGTACAACTTTTTAAATACACGCACGAAAATTTTAAATGGCAGACATTTTTAGAAAAGTTTTTTTGTAATTTGGGGCAGGTAATTTTCCGAAAGCTACTTTTTAAATTTCTTACGTCGGCCTAAAATAAGAAAGGTAACAGGATTTTGAAAAATCATTAGTTGGTTCGAAATTTAATTGCAAATTCTGTCACATGCGAAACCAGGCGCATTCATCGGTAAGTAGGATTCTTTGTTGGTGAGCAGTTTAAAATTAATGCGACCAAAGTCGGAGAAGCCCAATTCATATATACGAGTAAATCATCACGAAAAAGTCACCCAGGGGCCCCGCGATGCCTTAACCCGCCACTGTGTACGGGATGAAATTCTCAAAAAGTTACTTAATTATTAAGGGGTGAAGCGAGGCGAAATCCATTAATATGGAGATGTCCCGTGCGTCTGTATCCACGATAACTTTAGAACCGATTCGAATTTCGGCATACGGTTTTCGCCAACGTGTTTCTAATTTTTGAAGTACAGATAATTACGAATATGGGCGTATTGTCATCAAGTCCCATGGTTTTCTCCCAAAATGTTTTGCCAAATGTCACGAATTTATAAAATGTTCACAAATTATTGATAACCCAATGTCATACATATTTATGTACATAAATATTTCAACTTTCTAGAGTATGAACTTTACAATGTTGGACTAATTCGTGAAAAGTTACGAATCTCTTCCCGCAAAAGTAACACCCATGCCTCATTCCCTTGTGACGTCGTCTGTGAAGGTCCAAATTGAACTTCGTGTGACTCCTGTACTTGCACTTGTCGCAGGAATGGATCTTCAGCGCTTTGTTCGTGGCATGTCTCGCCTCCACGTGACGCTTCAAGCCTGATGAGAAGGAGAATTTCTTGTCACAAAATGGGCACGGATAATTCCTCTGATTTTCATGCACAACTCGAATGTGGCCTTGCAGCCCATTCCTAGTTAAGAAGGTCTGAGGACAGAGGTGGCATTTTGACACGTCTCGGGCAGACTTTTCCAAATGCGTCTTCTGTAAAATTATTATGCTCATTGGCAATTTTTAATCAAGATATTCCTCCACATACGACATGCTTATTTACCTCGTGACTTTTCATCTTTGCTTTGTGGGCGAAACTCTTCCCACACTTGGAACAATTGTACGGCTTCTCCGTCGTGTGGATGGGAGTGTGACTCTCAAGGTGAGCCCTCGTTTTGAATTCCTTTCCGCAAAGTGTGCACGGAAATCGGGCCGGATTCTCGGCATGTTCAGTGTTCACGTGTATCGTCAAGGCATCTTTAGCTAGATAGGTTTTCTCGCAGCCGGGAACTGTGCATGGGAAACGGGGTCGTTTAATCGTGCTGTGGACGGTCTCAATATGTCGTCGTAACCCGGCCGAAGTGAAATACACCCGGTGACACGTGTCACAGCTTGGTCGTTTCCGGTTGCTGTGGACACTCCACGTGTGGAAACGTAAGGCACCGGTAGTTTTGAAAATCGTTCCGCAAGTCTAAAAAAGATATATATGTATGTACAAATTGAAAAATGTAGGTTATAAAATTAGTTTTGTATTTACAACTTTACGCACTCACCTCGCATTTGACCTTTGCATCGGGGTCGTGCATAACGATATGTCTAGTCAAGTCGTAATTGGTTTTAAATGTTGTTGAGCACTTTGAACATTCCCATTTCTTTCCTGGCTTCAGATCCATGTGGATTCTGTATTTGCTGAGTTCGCTTTCACACTTTCAAACAATTTTAATGATTTTACTTATTTAAGGTTGATCACATTGGATAAAAATTTAACGAGTTTATACCAAATTCAGTCTACTCGTTTCCATCGGATAAGTTTAAGGTTCAAAAGTTGTAAGAAATGGTTGGGAGTAGCTGGTTTGTTTAGTTAGTTACTCACGTTTAACTTCTTCGAGTTTTAGTTGTGTATAAATCGCCTTTATCTCACATTTAAGACGAAGATTATTTTTAGCGAGAAAAGGTCGGTGATGAACCGTGATTGGGAAAAGTCCTGAAGCAAATGCACGCAGCAGGTGAATGGTTTGGATTGGACCTTGCAGGCAAGGGTAACGACTCCCCGAGGACAAGAAGATTTCTGCAAGCAGTTAACCGTTCACTTTTCTTAATCTGGAATGAAATAGGAACATGGGGCCCTTCGTGGATTACGTACATAGTTAACCAATTCTTCTATGCAGAACTTACATACCTACGTTTGTATGAATTGGATGAGAAGTACACCTTACTCGCAATATCTTGGAAACCATAAATTTTGAACGACCCCTAATCACGTAAGGTTAACATTTCCAATCACTGGATCTATGTAACACCAACTTAGTTATGGTTTGCAACAATTTACAGCCTAGGGGCCATTCAAAACTTACGACTTCAAAAGTATTGCGAATAAGATGTGTCAGAATGGGTTACTTTTACAGATTACTTTTCATCACGTGCATACAAAAGCTTGACACTTTTGTTGGACACAGAACGACCTAATTTTGTGCGTAACCCGTGAAAGGCCCCATGTTTCAATTTCGATTCTATTTTAAGGGAAGCGAAGGGTTAACTTGTTGCATGAATGTGATTGTGCCCATCATAAGTTGCTACCCCATCCATGTAAACCATTCCCTTGTATTTGCCTCCGGACATTTGTCAGGCTCAGTGCTTTTTCGACCTTTTCGCTAAAAGTATCCTTCGTCTGAAATATGAGAGAAAGAACTGATCTATCTCCTACTTAACTCGAAGTGGATATTTCTTAATAATCGTGAATAATGCACTAAACAAAACAACTATTTATGTAAGTATCTACAGACGATTGGTATTCAATCATTCTCAAAATAAATTTTGGACTGGGTTACTTACCTTATCTGACGGAAGCGAATAGAGAGAATTTAGTTTAAACTGAAATGAAGTTCAGTCAGGGTCACCAAGCTTAAATATAATCACGCCACAATTTATTGAGAGTACGAACTCAACAAATACCTAGTGGATATCGATATGAAGCCAGGAAAGAAATGGGAATGTTCAAAGTGCCCTAAAATATTTAAACATAAGCAAGATTTGACGAGACACATTGTCACGCACGATCCCGATGCCAAGGTCAAATGCGAGGTTAGCGTGAAAATTTGCAAAGTCACTAACATTTAAAGTCCAAACCCATTTGCCTTCTTCCGTCCTATCTAGATTTGCGGTATAATTTCCCGAAGCATAGCACGCCACATGCGGAGTGTTCACAGCAACCGGAGAGACCAAGTTGTGACACGTGTCACCGAGTCTTTTTCGATCTTCCCACTTTACGGAAACATATTAACACCGTCCACAATCCGAAGGACCGACCTCATTTCGCATGTACGTTTCCCGGCTGTGAGAAAACTTACCAAAGAAGTGGTCATCTTAGGGCGCATGTAAATTCTGAACACACCCAAAATCCGGTCCGATATCCGTGCACACTTTGTGGAAAGGAATTTAAAAACAGTCCTCACCTCAAGCGTCACATTGCCACGCACACGACGGAGAAACCACACAATTGTGCCACGTGTGGGAGGAGTTTCGCCGAGATGGAAACTATGAAAAGTCACGAGGTAAGAAAGCAATGTGGGAAAAACTGCATGAAAAACTACACATGTAAATATGTATATGGGTATTAATTTTGCTGAAGACGCATGTAGAAAAATCTACCCGAGACGTGTTAAAGTGGCACGTCTGTTCTCAGACCTTCATAAGTAGACGCAGTCTACGAGCCCACATCCGAGTTGTGCATGAAAATCGGAAAAATTATCCGTGCGAATTTTGTGGCAAGAGTTTCTCGAGTGCCAAAGATTTTGAGCGTCACGTGGAGGCGAGACACCCCACGAATGAAGGGCTGAAGACCCATTACTGCGATAAGTGCGAGTACAGGAGTCACTCGAAACACAATTTGACCATGCAAGCAAAACGGCACAACGCTGCGAATCGTGAATGCTACTTTTGTCGAAAAAAATTCCTCAATTTTCAAGAGTTTGTGCAGCACTCTCGCACTCATACCTTGGAAAAGTAGGAATTCGGTGTAGGAATCTGTATGTATGGATTATCAGGATTCGTGATGGTGCGTTAAACTATGTAATTGATAAGTAATAAATTGCATTCATTATAAAATATCATTTAAGCAATTTAACAAATTTAAATATATATTTATTCAATATGTGTCGAAAACTAATTTGGATGATGAGTATTTCAACATTTCGTGAGCCCGAGTCAGTGCTTATCTTTAAATGAATCGTTAAATCGTTAGTCGCACACAGAGGGATCCGAAAACAATACGTCATGGTGCATCAGAATGAAATGTTTTTGTCATAACTTTTGCATTTTATGACAATTTTAGAAAAGGCTTACAAAAGTTGCCAAAACTAAACATTCAAATCGGTCAATGAAACGCATACAAATAACATTACTGCATACGGATACCAAAAACATGAATAGATTTCCCCCGAGGAAATTCCCCTCTTAAATTTTACTTCTCTAACGTATGAATCCGACCAAAGTGCGTCACCAATTCTGGGAAAATTGTGGACACGAATTACTCGCTAAGAAAGTGTGTCCTTGGAAAAAATTAAGATAAAGTACCCGTTTCGGCGTTATATCGGAAATGTTGCTTTCATTAATTGTATATTCATACTCAAATATCCATACTTATTTATCCTGTACGTCATCAACCGTAGTTTCAGCTTTGTAACTTTTTCATCAGCTAATCGCAAATTTAATAAATTATTCAAGGAAACTGAACACGAACATTTTATTTCTTATGACACACTTAACGCGTGTTATGACACGCTTTATAAAATTTTAACCCTGTGCAATCATGATAATTAAAATGGGTCCATGCCAGCTCGCTAAGAATGCTAAAAGTTTCAAACAAACTATTCTTTACTGGAGGTTGACCGTTGCCTTAGGTATTTATTTTGCTAAAAGTCAAATCCGACACGACGTAAGTTATTACTTACAAAATTTCTCATTTTGGTTGGCCAACACTTGTCCGAAGTGATACACTTGCTCAACTTTTCCTGACAGTCTGTCCTTACATACACTTGGACTTATTTCATCAAACTTATTTCATCCGCCCATAAACGACGAATCGTATGTATGACCATAAACATTACGCCTCTGAAGCTCTACTCACCTCATTTCTTTTAGTGTCTTCGACAACCTTATATGTGATAAATCTTTAGTTTCCTCTTGCAGTTTTTCCATAAATCTTGTACTGAATTCCACACAAATTTTAGAACTGCCAACAATGGCCAAATTCATGCACATCTATTCGTTACTACTTGCGTTGTGTTGCACCGTAAATTATATTTTTATCGAAGCCAAGACAACATTGCCCACTATAAATTTGGCATCTATTCTATCATCCAACGCCCCTTGTCGATATCACCTCGTCTTCAACAATATTTCCAGCCCAAATCTGCCAACTACGCGGAATGTACCTCTTACCCTGACCAAACAACAATTTCCGGACGATTTTAATTCTGATGACTGGCCATGCTTCTCGATGCCCCCAAAACTTGACATTTTCCATAACAAAAACTGGCTTTGTGAAATTGTCATTCTTTTTGTCTCCATAAATTCGCCAAATTATACAAGATCTCATGAAAAGTCCTTAGGATATTGGATTACCCACCAAGGAAGTTGCTATTTGGGCCTAAATAATACACTAAATTTAAAAACTTGCCCGGATAACTTGTACTTCTTCTTTGTTCCCAACAGCCCAGAAATATTGCTAGCTACAAAGTCACCACTTTACTCGCAGCCTTTCAAATTTTCGAGGCAAATACCTGTCAGATTTTCAGTTGTATTATTTTTCAAGGGAAACAGGGTGGAAATATGTCACCAGAAAAGCATAGATAATGTCCCAATTTTAGAAAATTTTGCTTGCTTCATAGTTCATTCATCTGGGGACATACATTTACATACATCATCAAACTACCCAGCGCTTTCGGAATTTCATTGGGGAGACGCAACCGTAAATCATGATTCTACATTAGCTATCTATGAGGTTTTAACTACCATATCATTAAATACGCTGAACGCGACCAGACATTACACAGATGCCTTTGATCATTGCTATGACATATTAACACTGCCGCTACCCGTCATTCCAACTCGGGGATGTCGTCGAGCCCTGGTACACAGAAAATGCCCAAATTGTAACCGCAGATTTTATTGGCTTCTCATTCATCTCTTGCTCCCACTTTTCGATAGGGGTTTCGTTTTCCTTGTATTTCGCTCCATACGATCCCTTCGTGTGGATCGTCACGGTTATCAAGCTGTTCTTATCATCTTTCCTCCTTTCGTTAGGATTTTACCTTCTGAACAAAGAATTCTTTCTGCTAAAACTATTCTTATATTTTTTCGGTCTTCTGATCCATGAGGTGGACCAGCTTCCGAAAAAATTGAGTAATTTCCTCCCCCTTAAAGTCCTAAGTATTTCATGGCTGTTGGTCCTCGTAGTGATAAGTAACTGCTACCTGAGTAGCTTCATAACCAATTTAAACTCACCCCTTCCAGGGGAACGAGGCGACACGTATGAAAAAGTTTTTTGTGAGAAACCACAAAGAATGGAAAATGCCTCTGGGATGTTCGCGTTCAGGACCTGGAGAATAATGGACTTGCACCGCGAACTAGTCGACCCGAGTTTTGAAATTCCCCCGACTGTGAAGAGGGTGGGGGGATTCTGCTACACAATTTTGTCTCGATTCGAACCACGGAAGTCAGAAACGGATTTCTTTGAAAATTATCAATTTTCCTCTTATCGTTTCCACTACCTTATTCGCACTACTTTGGGTGAAATCGATGCAGCGGTAGCTCAACGGTTACTATATTCCATGGTGAATCCAAGGATTCGCTGGTATCTTGAAAAATTTAGATTTGCGGCAATAATGTAACTGCAAATGAGGTAAATTGGGCGATTGAGGAGGAAATATTGCAGTGTAACAGGTCCGCTTATGGCGGATCAACTCGTGAGGTGGACACCTACTTTGAGTACCTCAAGAGAAATTATCCCACCAAAAAATGGTATCGCGGAGAGAAAACAATTTTCCAAGAGGCGATCGGATCTGTGTTTAAGGTTTGGCGGGAATCTCGGATGGTGGCACATTTTAAATTGTTTTTTAATTCAGGGATTTACAACCACGTGTCTCATCAGTTTAGTCTGAACGATACAATATTACGCGAAAGGGAGCTTAAAAGTGGGGGAAATTGGAAATTTCGCTATGAAACGACCTCATTTGAGGTGGTCCGGCTAGGCGGTAGTATTCAAACTATTTTCATTCTACTGATCTCCTGCCTAGCGGCATGTTTCTGCCTGGCGGTCATCGAGTATGTCAAATACAGTAGGGCTAATTTCGCAAATAGGGTTAGATTAATTTGGGCACGATTTACTAAATTAGTGCAATTATGGCGTCACAAGAAAATTCGACGGAGAAATTTAGTACGGCAGAAGAATTGAGGAATTACTGAGGAATTAAATGAGGCCAATCACTCATATCTTTCTATGTAGAGCAAAATATGTACTTATTCACGTGTATGCATGATATGCGAAGTTCACACATAGCCTAAACTAACCCAAAGCGAGGGTGGGCAAACTTTGGATGCGCCCCATGCCGGTCTCCGTAACAAGTATAACTAATAACAACATCCATCAATTGATTGACAAAAATGACTTTTTATGTAAATCAGTCTGAATTGATGCAAGTCGTGTACATATACATAGTTGTTATAAACCTATTACATTATTTAGTAAAGTATGTCCTAAGGCCTTTTCGCAATGTGAGCCTCGTCCACTCACACCCCCACCTGCGTGCTAAGTGACTCCCCCTGCCACACCCGTCCCAGCAACGACAAGCTGAGCCACCAGGCGAAGATGGATTAGCCGGACCCAGTGCACAGGAGGATCTACGCCTTGGAGGGACTCCCCAGGTAGGTTTTTGTTTGGTATATTGGGGTGGTTACCGTGGGGTGTGGTTTGTTTGAAGAGTGGGGGAGGGGGGTCGTGCATGACGGAGGGAAGCATGGTCGGGTCTACGGGGGTCCTATGACCTGGTTATGTTGTGATGGGGGAAGGGGCAAGTGGGGGTGTCGTCGGCATCGGCTACGGCTTCCATGGGGGACGTGGGCAAAGATCCCGCGGTCCGTGGACAGCCCCCGCCCAACAACCTTCATCTGTCTGCTTCCGCATGCAGACGCCACCCTCATTTGGATATCACCACCACCCCACGGAATCCGCCTATGCATCACTGCCATGCATTTTCCTACCTGGTGTACGGCAGTAATGGGCCAAATGGTGTATTGGGTCACCTTCCCAATACATGTAGAGGTTCTCCGAGCCCACCTCCGGTTTTCCACCTACACTCTTACTGCCACATATATTTTATCATTATATGTTAACATCGACTTTTTACATTGTTAATAAGTATCTCGCCTCCAATACGTTCAAATATGAATAAGTATTACTCCCTCGCTTAATATTCCCGAATGTGCATCACTTGTTACCACAGAACTAAAAATAATTATTAATATCTTATCTAATGGGGGGCCCAGCATTTTGCATTATAATTACTGAAAGATAATGCAAAGGGGCCCACGGTTACCATCAAGTTCGATCAGTGTCTTTCAGGAGTACATTTTCCAAATTCATTATAAATACGTAAAATACATACATAACACAACTTATAAATATTCAGCTAGTGCTTGATTTCTTGTGTGGAAAATGTCTCCAAAAAATTCCAAATTAAGCACATGATTTATGCACGTCTCGTCCTCAAGGTTGAAGGGTTAGTTATTTTTATCCAGGAATGTGTCAAGTTATCACTCACTTGTAAATCTGGTCAGAAAATGCAACCTTTTTCACACCACAGTTACTTTACCATACATATCCATAAAACCAAACATTAAATACAGAGCATGTACATAGCCAATGCTACTATAACCACTCCCACTAAACACAATTCTTAATTTTTTTTCCAAACACCAAATTAAATTTGCAAATCAGCAAACCAATATTGCATATTTCCAATACAAGTCAACAAAGTTAACAATCAAGGAATACACATGGATCTTCAGCCAGGAAAGAATCGTGAACGCTCAAAGTGCTCAAAACCACTTAAAACCAATTACGACTTGACGAGACACATGGTCACGCACGATCTCGACGCCAACTTCAAGTGTCAGGTGAGCGTGTAAATTTGCAAAAGTAGATTTAAATAATTTCACAATTCACCTTTTCCAACTCCTATCTGGCCTAGATTTGTGGATTAATTTCCAAAAACTGAGTGGCCTTATCTGCCCAGGTATCAAAATATAACTGCAGCCTGAAGCGACCAAGTTGCGATACGTGTTACCGGGTATTTTTCAGTTCGGCCAACTTACGACAACATATCAACACCGTCCACAGCAGGATGGACCGACCACGTTTCCCATGTACAGTTCCCGAATGTTGGAAAACCTACCTAGACAAGAGGAGTCTTTCTAAACACATGAAAACCGAACATGCCGAGAAACCGATCCGATTTCCGTGCACACTTTGCGGAAAAGAACTCAAAACGAAACATGATCTTGAGAACCACATTTCCACCCACACGTCAGAGAAGCCATACAATTGTGCCACTTGTGGGAGGAGTTTCGCCTTTAAGGGAAAGATGAAACTTCACCAGGTAAATCAGCATGTGGAGGAATTTTTGAGACGATAAATTACCAGTGTATATATTCACCTTACAGATGACGCATTTGGAAAAATCTTCCCGAGAAGTCATAAAGTGTCACATCTGTCCTCAGACCTTCTTAAGTAGGGACGTTCTTTTTCGTCACGTCCGCGTTGTGCATGAAAATCAGAGGAATCATCCGTGCGTAGTTTGTGACAAGAGATTCTCCAGCTCATCAAACTTGAGGCGTCACGTGGAAGCGAGGCACCCCGCGAATAAAGAGCTGAAGATCTATTCCTGCGGCAAATGCGAGTACAGGAGCCACTCGAAACACAATTTGACCCAGCACTCTGTACGACACAATGCAGCGAGGCATGGATGCTACTTCTGTGGGACGAAATTCCTCATGTTTCCAGATTTGGTCGGACATTGTCGAGTTCATACTTTAGAAAATTAAAAATACTGGTGAATGTATTCGGCATGTCAATAATTTCCGAAATTTGATTTGATTTGAGACGGTTTGAAATTTTTGGTAGAAAGGTAGTGGATTTTTGTAACAAATTTAGCTAGTATCAGGATGTGTTGGTAATTTGCTAGAATATTTCACAAATGGAATCGTTATGCGAAATAAATAAATATGTAGGTATATTGTTTCGAATACACGCCAACGTAAACGTTTTTAGCTTGCTTAGTGAAAGTATTTATGGTATGAAATATTATAAATTGAGTATGTATTTTTGTAAGTAGAACATGTATAGCGTGGGGTAGTGGGGTTACTATAACTTATATGAGCGGGTCAATTTGACATGCAACCGAACAAATGGGTATACCCATTGTTGCATGTCAAATTGTCATACATATGTATATACCTAATGGGTATGTATTTATACCCATTTGGTACATGGATATTATTCGATGTCCCCATCATCTGGCTGTGTTATATAGACTCCTCCTTCTCTCTTATCCTACAATGTTAATGTCCCCAGATATATTATGTGCAGCTCTGGTCGCGACCAGGGTTCGGAAAACCCCGAGGTTTTTCTAGAAAAACCCAACCCCGCGGGTTTTTCCGAGGTTTTTGGGGTTTTTGTGGGTTTTTGGGTTTTTGTGGGTTTTTGTGGGTTTTTGTAGATTTTGGGGCAGGTTGAACCAAAATTCTTTAAATTATATATTAGATAAAAAGTAATTTAATATACGATTTTCACATGCAATTTTAAGCGTTATCATTGAGTTGGACTGTTAAATCGAAAATTCATATTTCGCATGCAAACTTGGAAATATGCAATAAAACTTGGAAATTCAAGTCGCACATGAAAATTCTCAAAATTTCATGATGAATCCGTCAATTTAATTAGCATTGATTTAAGTTGTAGTTTAAGGGATTTTGTTTCAATCTGTCCCAAAATCTTACAAAAACCCCGGAAAAACCCACAAAAACCCACAAAAACCCGCAAAAACCCCATTAAGCATTAGGGTTTTTCCGGAGATTTGATACCCCAAAAACCCACAAAAACCCCAAAAACCCCAACCCACAAAAACCCGGGGTAGCGAACCCTGGTCGCGACTGATTAATGGGCACAATCACAATTCTGCCACCAGTTCACTCCTCTTAAAATAGAACTGAAATAGAAAAATGGTACTTCTCATGGGTAGAGATTTACATATGCAAGTAGGTCCCTTGGGCTCCTCAGTCATATCTCGCTATGTAGATCGAAATATATGTATGCACTATGTATGTAAATATATGGGTTAGTGGTTGATGGTCGACAAACGAGTCGTCGACACCTAATTGGTCGCCAAAAAACAAGTCGCCAAAATAACTAGTCGCCTATCTCAACTTGTCGACAGACGACAAGTCGACGCAGTAAATCGGTCGACATGGCATATTGGTCGCCAATCTCAACTGGTCGACTTTAAATTGGTCGACCCCAATTAAAAGTTGTAAGACATATCTGCAAGGGAAGTTGTATGTATGTGCAACCACTTGATTTTGGTACCAATCATCCAAAAATTTAAAAATATTACACTTTTTAACCCAAACGAATTAGCTTTGCGACCAGACATAGTAAGCATGTCGTTTTCCACGACGAGAGGTAATTATAGGTGAGGAGAATGATTGGTCAAATGATGAGGATGGCTTAGATGGCGCTGGAGCAGAATTAGGCAACAAAATACCTCGTTTTGCGCCACGTGGCATTTACAATTCGTCCCAATGTTATAGGCTACTCCAGTTAATAAAATCAGAAAATTCCTTCGTGATCTATTATCACAGAGTTTATCAAAAACGTGGCGATGGCTTTCTGCTGACTGTAATGCGATGGCTTTCTGTCGGGGGAAAGGCGTACACCAAGAGACTTACGACTTCATCAGGTGTAATCCCGGGTATCGTCATCAGTTGCCCGTAAAGTTTGGTGATATGTCAAAGGTTCCATCCACTGCCCAAATATTGCATAAGGATAGTTCCGTATGATATTATATTTTATGGGTTAATTATGTCATAATTTATTTCTCACGTCAATTGGACACATTGATTTCACCTTTTTGACCACTTTAAAGGGGGCAAGTGCTTATTCAAAGCTTCTTCCCTTAGTCTTGCGAGAGCCTCTTCAAGCTTAATTCTGTGCGCTTATGTATATATTAAACTAATATTCAGTGTCGACCAATACGTTCATATATTGTCGACCAATATGTCATGTCGACAGATCTACTGTGTCGCTGAAGTTTACTCCTGGTTTTATATTCGTTTCCGCAAAGTGTGCACGGAAATCGGACCGGATTCCCGGCATGCTCAGATTTCACGTGGTTCGTCACATCGAACTGGTGCTTTTCTCATAGCCAGGAAACGGACATGGTAAACGAGGTCGTTCCTGCGTACTGTGCATGTTCCGAATATGATTCCGTAAAGTGGTAGCGTTGAAGAAAACCCGGTGACAAGTGGTATAACTTGGTCGCTTACGGTTGCTGTGAACACCCCGCATGTGACCCGATAAGGCGACTCTGTTCTTTAAAATTTTACCGCAAATCTAAATGGATAGGAAAGAAATTGGCAAGTGTGGATTTTTAAATTAGGTAGCTTCATTTTAGCTAATTAACAAGCTCACCTCACATTTCACCTTCGCATCGGGATCATGACTAAGGCTGTGTTTTGTCAACTCGTAGTTGGTTCTAAACGATATATACACAGTACGAATGTACACAGATATTTATGTATGGTCCCTAGGGGTGAGGGGGTGGTTATTTTTATCCAGGAATTTGTCAAGCGATCGCTCATGACTACAGGTCAAAAAACGCAACCCTTTTCACACCACACGAACGAGAACTAACTTAATGTGTTCCTTCGCTCGAAAGCAACACCTGCATACGCACGTAATAATTAGATCCTACAAACCCCACGCCACTAAAAGACAGTTCTAACACCAGGACAAGGAAGTACTCGCTTAATAATTAAGCAATCCCAACGGTAAGAAACTGTCTTTGTATAGTAAAAAATGTTAAATCGCACAAAACTTAATTTTTCGTGGGTATAATCAATTAATTTATATGTATCTCTAAAAATGTGTTTCATTTTCGCGAATCGCTTAAAAATGAGTGACTTTTTTTTCCAAAAAATGGTCATAATACTGTGTGAATATTTATACATACGCGAATTTTCTATTACGAGTATTTACAGACTGAAACTTGTTTAACCATATCTATTTTTTAAGAGTATGTATATTTACATACATCAGTCTAAAAACTCAAAGAATACCGACCAGGGTTTCTATTGGTAAAAACCAAATTGACCAGGGCAGCGGGAAAAAGTGGGAGAAAGGCATTTTTACCATCCACCCAAAATGGGTAGGAAATGGGAAAAATGGAAGAAATGGGAAAAACTCTGGTCTTGGGGCAATGCGAAACAACTTCTTTAAAACTTAAGATTTTCAAAATTTGAGTTCATATTCGTATTCTCCATCAAATTTTGAGAAAATTAGTTGGTAATACGGTTCAATTCGAACAATCTCTAAAATTAACATGTATTCATATGGGAAAATTGGAAAAATAATTAAAACTGATCAAAAGTGCCCGTATTACATATCAGAATTTTCAGAAATTCGTGGAGATCACGAATATGAAGTCCAATTCCGGAAATATTGGTTATTAAAGAAGTTAGCTTTCCCCATAACTAAATACATGGGCAGCCATATTTCCCATTTTGAACGGTAAAAACCGTTTTTCCCGGTTTTTACCACTTTTTCCCACCTGCCGTGGTAAAAAATAGCTTTTGACGGGAAAAACAAAACCCTGATACCGACTCCACATGGATCTGACGCCAGGAAAGAAGTCGGAGTATTCAAAGTTCTCGAAAACGTATAAAACGAAAAGAAACTTGCCTCAACACATGGCGATGACTGATCCGAATGCGAAGGTCAAATGTGAGGTGAGTGTGCACAATTACAAAACCCCTGTAGCACCCCTAATTTTACTCATTTCTCACCTTCCGTCTTGTCCAGGTTTGCGGAATACTTTACAAAAACCGAAACACTTTATCTTCCCACGTGTCGAGAGATCACACGAACCGGATGCGACCAAGTTGTGTCACTTGTGACCGTGTGTTTTCTACCCTTCAATCCTTTCGTAACCATGTCGACACCATTCACAGCACGAGGGAACGACCTCGCTTCTCATGCACATTTCCTGGCTGCGAGAAAAGCTATCTACACACAGGCAACTTGGCGAAACACGTGAACACTGAACATGCCGCGAATCCTGTCCGATTTCCGTGCACACTTTGCGGAAAGGACTTCAAAAGGAAGGCTCACCTGGAGAGTCACATTCTCACCCACACGACGGAAAAGACGTATAATTGTTCCACTTGTGGGAAGAGTTTCGCCCACAGGGGACACATAAAGAGTCACGAGGTAAATCTGGAAAAAAACTTTTGAAAAATTACCAATGCGCATACTTATGTATTAATTTTCCAGAGGACACATTTGGAGAATTCTACCAAACGAGTGTTAAAGTGTCACCTCTGTCAGCAGACCTTCTCCCGGAAGGATAGTCTAAAGCACCACGTCCGAGTTGTGCATGAAAATCAGAGGAATTTTCCGTGCACAGTTTGTGACATGAGATTCTCCTATTTAACTGGCTTGAAGCGTCACATGGAGGCGAGACATGGGACGAATAAAGAGCGGATCCATTCCTGCGACAAGTGCGAGTACAGGAGCCACTCGAAACACAATTTGGCCAATCACAGATTGCGCCACAGCGGGGCGAGGCATGGGTGTGACTTCTGTGGGAAGAAATTCCTCATTTTTAGCGAATTGGTTAACCATTGTCGAGTTCATACGTTAGAAAATTCAAAATACTTGTGTATTTAGATCCATAATTACGTATGTACATATTTATATGTATGAAATGACATCAATAATTTTCGATTTTTTATAACTTTATATGAATTCAGTTGCGTTGTTTGAGAGTCAATAATTTAGCGACTGATGTCGCTTTAATTCAATAAATTATTCCATATAAATAGTGAACTCCACTACAAGTTTCTGACACTCGTCTTATTGTATCATGCAAAAATTTGTGGCTCCTCTAAAAGCTCAAGGTTTTGCACACGGACTTTTTCACCTTTCTAAAGAGTTGGTAAGCCTATTCAAAATAAATTTTCCTTCATTACATACAGTTAAACATTTGGGAGTTTCTAATATTAAATTTGTGTCATTTATGTTGAAACGCATGGAATTTTAGTTAAAAAATTTTCATATGTGAAATTAATATAAATATGTAAAAGGTGTATCTGTCTTACATACCGTAAAAACTCAAATAGTAGCTGGGGGCTACTATTTACAAATTTGGTGTCTGGGACCCGGCTACTATTTGAGCAAGGCTACTATTTGGGCAGGGCCACTATTTATAAAATGACGGAAAGATGCACGGCTACTATTTGCACACAGCTATTGAATTTTATTTCCACAATCAAGCTCAAATTAAATTTTAATAACATAACCAAATTCTCCTATAGAATCGCAGTCAGTGACAATTCTATTGTTTAAACCTGCTCTTAATCAATTTTGTCGATTAGCCAAATTTCGTGTTCCCTTCGATTTTTTGTATGTAATTGCGATTAAATTGAATTATGTATAATTGAATTACTTAAATGACCTGGCTAGGAGATGTGTGGTTAAGTAGATGCACGGCTATAATTCGAATAAGGCTACTATTTGGGCAGGGCTACTATTTGAGCACGGCTACTATTTGAGCAACGGCTACTATTTGAGTTTTTACGGTAAATGACATTTCAAATTCATTATACGTAAAATACATAACCCAACTTACAAAAATTAACCTCGGGATTGATCTCCTGTGGGGAAAACCTCTTCAAAAAATCCCAAATTAAGCATATGATTCATGGATGCATGAGGCGTCCTCAAGGGTGAAGGGCTGGTTATTTTTATCCAGGAATGTGTCAAGTTTTAATTTGCTTCTACATAAATATGGTTAATAAAATGCAACCTTTTTCACACCACAGTTACTTTACATAGGCACGTATCCAGTGAACTGTGATCACGTCGTATTCATACATATGAACCCAAGTATATTTTTCTTCTATACAAAAGGATATGACTGAATTGTCCCATTGCGTAATCCATGAAAGGCCCCATTTTCCTTTTTTAGTTCACAAAGTCAACCCTTCACGGACACCAAATGTTAACTGGTGGCAGTCAGATTCCTTCAAGAATGTGATTGTGCTCATAAGCCGCCGCTACCCTTCAGTGCAAACCATTCACCTGCTGCATGCATTTGCCTCCGGCCCATTACCATGCAGAATTCATTCTCGACCTTTTAAAAGTACCCTCTGTTTAGACGGAATCTCTCATTTAAGAATCCGAGACAGAAATTGATTCATTTCCAATTTAAATTTGGGGAAGATAAACGTTATTAGTTTCCTAAATAAAAACAAACTATTTCCAGGCAATTCTATAACCGTTTATCCTCATACATAGATTTTGCACTTCGTCTTAACCTTATCGAGTGGAAACGAGCAGAGTGAATTTAGTTCAAACTGAACTCACATTAAACCATCGTCTTCAACCTTAAATAAAATCATATGGTGCAATATCTAGTTTTTTTAGAGTAAGGACTCAATAATAACGAATCCATATCGAGATGAAGCCTGGGAAAAAATGTCCAACGTGGTCGAAAACGTTTAAATCCGTTAGCGACTTGAGCAGACACGTCGTCACGCACGACCCGGATGGGAAAGTGAAGTGCGAGGTAAGCATAGGGGTGAAAATTAGCAAAAGTGAAGCCAAATATACAACATTCCTCCACTTCCGTCTTCCTTAGGCTTGCGGCATGATTTCCAAAAACAGCATCGCCCTAGCTTCCCATGTGAGGAGACTCCACACAAATTCCAAGCGTCCCAGTTGCGACACTTGCCAACGGGTGTTCTGCAGCCTTGCCAGTCTACGGCGGCATACTGACACCGTCCACATCTCGAAGGAACGGCCCCGTCTTCCATGTACGTTTCCCGGCTGCGAGAAATCTTACCTGAGCAAGGGCGACCTTGTGAGACACGTGAAAACTGACAGGCTTTGATTAGTTCAATTTAATACCGATCGATGGATTAAATCATCATGCTCGTGTCCAATTTTCTTACAAATTTATGTATGCATGTAAGCACTTAATCGGTATCGCGATTATAAACAAACTATACGAAACCTGCCCAGAAGCCAAGACGATTCCAATAGGTGGGCCTGGACGCCCTACCAAAGCTTAGCTTTGAAAGCTACGAATGCATTGATTACTACATATGTAAAAATTCATTTTTGAATAATGTAGAGGAAGTAAATGGCTAATTCATGTTTTTAATATCAAAGTCGTTATCATTTTTATGTCACGATATTATTGGGCATTTTTTGTTTTATATTGAGTGCATGTGTAACATAATTTGTCTGGGCATTCAGTATTATTGGTTTTAAATACTTTACTGGGAACTTTTCAGTATTTTTCTGGGTGCGTTAATAATAATCCTTTACGGAAACATATCGATGCCGTCCACAGCACTAAGGAACTATGCCGCTTTTCATGCACGTTTCCCGGCTGTGGGAAAACCTACCTATTCAAAGGCAGTGTTGCGACCCACGTGCAAGTTGAACATGCCGAAAATCTGGTTCGATATTCGTGCATACTTTGCGGAAAGGAATTCAGAACGATGGGTGAACTTGTCCTGTACATTTCCACCCACAGGACGGAGAAGCCGCACAAGTATGTCACGTGTGATATGAGTTTCGCCCACAGGGGACGCATAAAACGTCACGAGGTAAATTAGCATGTTATAGAGAAACTAGGTGAGAAATTACCAATATGCATATTAATTTTGCAGGTGACGCATCTGGAGAAATCTACACGAGAAAGGTCAAAGTGTCAAATAGCTTGAATAACCACGTGGGAGCGAGGCATAGAGGAATAGAGAGATGATCTATTCCTGCGACAAGTGCGAGTACAAGGACCACTCGATGGGGAATTTTGCTACTCACAAGACGCGACATAATGGAACGACACATGGTTGCTACTTTTGTGGAAAAAGATTTCAAGGTCACACTTTAGAAAACTGAAGGTACCTGCGAACGTTATGATCATATTAATAATTTCGACATTTTTAAGAAGTGAAAACATTTTGGGCAGAAAACCATCTGATTTTACATACAAATTAATCTTGAAACGGGACCTGGTCTTATTTCGCTGCTGAATTTCCCAAACCTTATTGTCATGCTGGATAAATACGATGTGTTCAGTTTACAGATATTTGGTAACTATGGCCACTTAAACAGGTCAAGGATGCGAAAAATGGAAAACTGCCGAATTGCACGGGACTGGTTGCTTTAATCAATGAATAAACACAAAGGTTTTTAGCAAATGATACTTTTCACTTTTAACCTTTTAAAACGTGTGTATAATGACATGACCAAGGCGTTACCGCGGGAGATTTACTGTGATTATTTGGTTATGATTCGGGAGTCATTTTCCAGAGAGAAAATCTAGTTTCGTGAAAGGAGGGACGCTAAATAGACGGTTACTGTGGGAAGGGTTTTTTGAGTATTTTATAATAAATTTTTGCTCATTTAAATTCTTTGCAATGTGATGGTGGAAAATTCAATACGTTCACAATTTTGTATTCGAGTGTTTTTTTGTGCAAATTTGATCAAATAATTAACAATTATTTTATGATATAAAACATTATTATTTGTTATGAAGAGCGAAAAAAATATTTTTTAACGAGGTCTATTGACCTCCTCGCGTAGTAGAGAAAAAATTTGGGTGGAGGCTAAAAGACCTCCTCCCGCACCATAGCTGCAAATTCGTGAAGGTTTATTGACCTCCTCCCGCAGTAAGCCCGAAAATTTTAGGAGTCTAAAAGACTTCCTCCCGCAGCAACGCAATGTTTCCAAGGAGGCCAAAAAGCCTCCATACACTCTCAATAATTTAGAAGCAAAATTATTACCATTTTTACTACCCTGACAAGGTAACAACCTCTGTCTCTCATTAGGTAATAAATTTGTCACCAAAATTGTCAACATTGGAAGTGACAAACAGTATATCCTATCCGGAAATAATTTATTTCCTTCGAGGAAATAATTTCGTCTCCAAAATCATTTCCAATAGGTGACAATTTGTCTCCTTAAAGCCCAGCGCAAACTTTAGTCACTAAAGTTTAGTGGCAGTTAAGTTTTCTCTCACAAACGTTTCTCTCTCGCACCTGGCAGAATAAAGAAAATTGTTCGAGTTTTGCATCTTACCAGAGGAAAAAATTAGTAATTAGAGGTTCAAGTTATGGATTACCCTACATTTCAGGTAAATAATTTTAATTCATTGTTCATATTATGCTTTTGCTGTAATTTTATTGTTTTTTGTCCTATAAATATTTACACTAAAACAAGTTTTTTGTAGATCCGGATGCGCAAATTTCGTTCAAAGATGAATTTGGCGCAGATTGAGATGAAGATATTTTCGCAATTTTACTGCAATAACATTTCATCTCTAACGTTGCGTGTTCCACGGAACTCTTCCTGGAAGACGTTTTTATGGTAAGATAAAACTCCATTTAAAGTAGTAGTAATTAGTTTAATTTCTCTTTGAGTGTGATTTTAAAATTTATACAGTTGACGCTTCATTTCTGTTGGCCGTAATTAGACCAGTTGGTCTAATTTGAATTCATAACCAGCGTAAAATTCAAAGAAATGATCGAAATGCCAAATTATAAACAGGTGACAGGTGGGCCCTCACTTCATTTTTATTTATTTTATTTGTATATCTGCGATTTTTTTAGTTTGAGTACTGCAGGATAATATTTTTAATTTTATTTGATTTTCAGATAACGTAAATCTTCAGCAGCGAGCCAGCTAGTACGAGGATCAATTTTCACTAACATTATAAGTAATATAAGTATGTACATATATATATAAGCCTGCACAATTTAATTTTTATATTTTTAAGTGTATGTACGTAGTATGTAGAGACATGCGAAGAAATTTAATCTCTAACCAAATCTTATTTAAGTAAATAAATACATATTTTATAAACTATGTTTGCTTCCCCAGGGTTCTAATCTATTACCGCAAGGAGATAAATATGTGCGCAGGATGGAGATAACTTATCTCTCATATTATCACCATATGTAGGTAAATTATTTCCATTCAGAGACACAAGTTACTTCCATGTTGCATAAATTGTCACCGGGAGTAACAAATTATATCCAAACAGGTGATAATACTATTTACCTCCGCTCGGGAGACAAAACATATTTGTCAACAGGCGGAGGTATATTATCACCCTACGGTAGAGTTGCATAGTACCTACACGAGGAGACGATTTTGGTGGCAATTTTGCTGAGAGTGCACGTCACTTCGTAGCACTGCCCTGCCACTGGGAATTTCAAAAGGTTTGTTGCGTAACATTAAAGTCCATTAACCGAGGATTACGGAAAAAATTGAATAAGGTCTCGCAAAAACTGTTCAGGACTAAAAAACCAGAGTTAAAAGTCGTCTAGTTACTTGATACGAAAATAAAACCTACAGGGCAGACTTCATATAGCCCGAGTCAGAGCACGCTTCTAAATTTTCTTCCGAATTGACCGGCATAATATCACCAACTTCCGTGTTGTGGATGGTTAAAAGTCTGTTAGATAGTTTCTACCATTTGGTACCAAATTTTTGAATTAGTTACATATCATGTGCCTTGACCACCATGACCAGTGGGCTTCTTTAACATCCTGAAGTTCTAAGCTGTATGTATCTATGTGCTATCCAGCAGTGGTTTTCAGCCTCCATATAAAATTTTAGCTCGACATAACGATTTTGAAAAATCAGTATGGGTCACCCCATAGGGTCGCTCCAGATAAAAATTTTACCAATATCATATCATATTCCTTCATTAAGACCAATAAGCAACCTCTCCAACAAATTTCAGTTTGATATGATGGTTTTGAAAAATTAATCTTTATTTCCCACTAAATATTATTAACACGAAATTATATTTTTTTACACGTTTTTTTGCAATTTTTTTTAACTCTGGTTTTTTAGTCCTGAACAGTTTTTGCGAGACCTTATTCAATTTTTTCCGTAATCCTCGGTTAATGGACTTTAATGTTACGCAACAAACCTTTTGAAATTCCCAGTGGCAGGGCAGTGCTACGAAGTGACGTGCACTCTCAGCAAAATTGCCACCAAAATCGTCTCCTCGTGTAGGTACTATGCAACTCTACCGTAGGGTGATAATATACCTCCGCCTGTTGACAAATATGTTTTGTCTCCCGAGCGGAGGTAAATAGTATTATCACCTGTTTGGATATAATTTGTTACTCCCGGTGACAATTTATGCAACATGGAAGTAACTTGTGTCTCTGAATGGAAATAATTTACCTACATATGGTGATAATATGAGAGATAAGTTATCTCCATCCTGCGCACATATTTATCTCCTTGCGGTAATAGATTAGAACCCTGGGGAAGCAAACATAGTTTATAAAATATGTATTTATTTACTTAAATAAGATTTGGTTAGAGATTAAATTTCTTCGCATGTCTCTACATACTACGTACATACACTTAAAAATATAAAAATTAAATTGTGCAGGCTTATATATATATGTACATACTTATATTACTTATAATGTTAGTGAAAATTGATCCTCGTACTAGCTGGCTCGCTGCTGAAGATTTACGTTATCTGAAAATCAAATAAAATTAAAAATATTATCCTGCAGTACTCAAACTAAAAAAATCGCAGATATACAAATAAAATAAATAAAAATGAAGTGAGGGCCCACCTGTCACCTGTTTATAATTTGGCATTTCGATCATTTCTTTGAATTTTACGCTGGTTATGAATTCAAATTAGACCAACTGGTCTAATTACGGCCAACAGAAATGAAGCGTCAACTGTATAAATTTTAAAATCACACTCAAAGAGAAATTAAACTAATTACTACTACTTTAAATGGAGTTTTATCTTACCATAAAAACGTCTTCCAGGAAGAGTTCCGTGGAACACGCAACGTTAGAGATGAAATGTTATTGCAGTAAAATTGCGAAAATATCTTCATCTCAATCTGCGCCAAATTCATCTTTGAACGAAATTTGCGCATCCGGATCTACAAAAAACTTGTTTTAGTGTAAATATTTATAGGACAAAAAACAATAAAATTACAGCAAAAGCATAATATGAACAATGAATTAAAATTATTTACCTGAAATGTAGGGTAATCCATAACTTGAACCTCTAATTACTAATTTTTTCCTCTGGTAAGATGCAAAACTCGAACAATTTTCTTTATTCTGCCAGGTGCGAGAGAGAAACGTTTGTGAGAGAAAACTTAACTGCCACTAAACTTTAGTGACTAAAGTTTGCGCTGGGCTTTAAGGAGACAAATTGTCACCTATTGGAAATGATTTTGGAGACGAAATTATTTCCTCGAAGGAAATAAATTATTTCCGGATAGGATATACTGTTTGTCACTTCCAATGTTGACAATTTTGGTGACAAATTTATTACCTAATGAGAGACAGAGGTTGTTACCTTGTCAGGGTAGTAAAAATGGTAATAATTTTGCTTCTAAATTATTGAGAGTGTGGAAGGGTTAGGGCTGAAAAGTTTTGTAACGTTTTTCAAGATTTGGGGGATCGCTATGAAGAGGGGTGACCTTGGAAGGTTTTTCGAACTTCACTTTTTGTCATCGTAATAGTTCTAAATATTAATGTAGATTCTCGTTTTGCGACATCCTTCCGTTTTGAAGTGTTGCCACGTCTTGTTCGAGTTACGTCAAGCCACGTTTTTCTAGTTGTGAAAAAACTCGATTCGCGAGGCTTTAATTTTTATCCTGATTTCTATTGAATTTCGCCATTTTTACAAAAACTTCTTTACATATGCTAGTTGTCCTAGGAATTGCGTCTCAAAAAAATGATATAGCTGGACACCAATATCGACGAATTGCGCAGTATGATTTAAAGTCGGCCATTCCAACTTAACCCTGGACATGCCTTACTTAAATTATGTGATTAATTTTGAATGTTTTGGACGAGCTTCGCCCCCAGAAACATTCAATGGCGAAGTGAATAAAGGGTGTTGAATAAATTCGCCAACATTTGGTACTGCAAATAAAATGCTTGTTTTTGAAAAATGAAGGTATGACAAATCCCAACTTTTTCTGAGAGATACCTTAGTAATTGGTCATTCCACAATGGACTTCAATCATTCCAACAACTCTTCGAGTTAGGCTCTGTGCAGCTATATATTAGTCGCGCATAAAGCCCACATGTTACCACAACTTCCATATCACATTTCAGGATCCTAACTAATGATTGACCCGATTTTTTTCTGTCCCGTATCCTCTAGTTTGTTAATGTAATTTGGGTATAACACAATTTGAGATTCATCCGTGCAAAGGATATGATGACGAAATTCTTTAGGTTGTCAAATACCCACTTTTTCAAAGCGTTTACGCAAATGCAGCTCGGTCAGCAATATTTTTATTGGACGCATGATTTGTTTTGGTTAGCCTGCAAATTCTGTGACAGGATTATGCAGATTCGACGATAGTTTTCACTACAATGCACTATTCATACTTGATTTTCATTTAATTGGTTTTCCGTAGTTCCACTCCCTTGCACCATTTGGACAAGAACTTCCAATTTTCGGATAAATTTCAGCATAGTCTTAGTTTTCCTGGTAGATCGGATCAATTCGGGTTGTACAGGTTGTTTTTAATCCTTGAAAAAATTATTGTTCGCGCATTGCCACGAACTTTTTCCGGTACATACTAATTTTGGTGGAATTTTTATTTATTTTGAATTCCCCGCTTCTAACACCGCTATGCCAATGTTATCATGCTTATAATTAGCACTTGGCTTGCCTCCAACCATGGTAAAAATTTCAAAGAGAAATATTAAAGGGGTCAATAGTTATAAGTAATTTTGTTCCGATCCCGGGCCGAAAAATTGATGTTTGCGAATTAAATCAACACCCTTTATGCATAGATCGGAGTACTCCGGGCTTGGAGTACGTACTCCGGCCTCCGGAGGCCGGAGTACGCAGCTTTTTCTGGAGGCCGGAGTACGCGGAGGCCGGAGTACACGTGGCCAGCCGGAGGCCGGAGTACGCATGGCCGGCCGGAGGCCGGAGTACGCAAAATTTCCGATCGCATACATAGGGGAATTCCGGGCTTGGAGTACGTACTCTGGCCTCCGGAGGCCGGAGTACGCGACTTTTTCTGGAGGCCGGAGTACGCGGAGGCCGGAGTACGCGTGGCCAGCCGGAGGCCGGAGTACGCGGAGGCCGGAGTACACATGGCCGGCCGGAGGCCGGAGTACGCGGAGGCCGGAGTACGCAAAATATCCGATCTATGCCTTTATGTCATTTATTTTAAAATATTTATAGCATTTGATAAAGCCCCCACGACAAAGATTTTTTAGCACATTTTACTTTGCCAAATTTATCTAGAGTGAATCCTACAGGAACCCGATCACTAGGAGGTTTAATAGCGGAGTCGTCAAAAATAGGTTTAGAAATCTGAAATTCCTGCAGAATACGCTAAATACATCTAACCACGCTCCCCCAAAATTTCACAAGTTTTCAATGAAACATAAATTTCCTACACGAGTTCCAAGCGACGAACTCGCGAATCGACTTTTTTGTACATATGTAGGTAAGTAAGTACCAAAATTAAGTTACAACGACTCGAGAAAGACTTGACTGCATTACATCGAAGAAGGGGGTAGGTGTGCAAAAATTGAGACACATAAAAAAGTATGGAGAATCCGAAAATGTCGACCACAAGGAGGCACCATGAATAAAAAGCATAATAAACAAGGCCCCAAAAAAGGGAAATCTTAGTGACGCTTGGTGCGACTACAACTAATAAATAAAATTAGATTGCAGAATTTTTGCATCACCGCTCTCAGTACCATTCTTTATTGGAAACATTAAGTAATCCTTGCAATAAATGACTCCCCTCAAACATGCTTGTAATTTCATGAGAATAAGAATTAATAGGATATCCAGATTATAGGATTATCCAGAAAATATTAACATTAAATATTTGCAACTTTTGTAGCATATTTGCAACTTAAAGATTCGTAGTTCACAATTGTTACCCATTAAATTTATTCCTAGGTAATTTACCAAACTTCTCATTCACTGGTAAAAACGTCTTCTTAAAAGCCAAATTAATTCAATAAATGTAAAAATGCATGTGTATGCGAAACAAAATTTATATTGGATCCAGTAAGAACGGTACAGAGAGCGGTGATGCAAAAATTCTGCAATCTAATTTTATTTATTAGTTGTAGTCGCACCAAGCCTCACTAAGATTTCCCTTTTTTGGGGCCTTGTTTATTTAATACTTGTAATTGAGTTCTTTATATATTTAATAATAAGCACCACACATTCCTTAAATCTAGAGTTGATTAGAATATTTATTGTCAACAACATTAATTCTTTGCGTCGCTGCAAAAATTCGAAGGTTTTCTAAATTTAATAATATCCAGAGTTCTTAACAGATTTTGATCATCCGGATCAGTTTGAATGTCATTTGTAAATTTCATAAGAATAATCGGTGCAAAATGTCATCAAAATCGGTTGAGAAATGACTGAGATATCGTCGGTGGTCATTTTTTGAGGAGGGTCAACTGCATGCTTAGTAATTTTTTTGTTTCTATGTATTTGCCTCACTAAGAAAAATGACCCCTTGACAGCTAAAAACGATTGAATTTATTTTTGGAAAGTGTCAACTGAATTCATATAAAGTTATAAAAAATCGAAAATTATTTATGTCATTCCATACACAAGGATGCCACGATATATGTATGTACATACATACGTAATTATGGATCTAAATACACAAGTATTTTGAATTTTCTAGCGTGTGAACTCTTCAATGCATGACCAATTCGGCAAAGCGGAAGAATTTCTTCCCACAGAAATAACATCCACGCCCGGCTGGCTTATGGCGTAATTTGTGAGCGGCCAGATTGTATTTCGAGTGGGTGTTGAACTCGCATCTGTCGCAGGAATGGATGAGCTCTTCATTAGTGGCATGGCTCCCTTCCACGTGACGCTTTAAGTCCGACGAGCCGGAGAATCTCTTGTCACAAAATGCGCAGGCATAATTCCGCCGATTTTCATGCACAGCTCGAACGTGGTGTTGTAGACCTTCTTTACTTAACAAGGTCTGAGGGCAGAGATGGCACTCTAACATGTCTCGAGCAGATTTTTCCAAATGCGTCATCTGTAACATATGAATGTATTCATGTAAATGTACATATATACATTTGGTAGTTTAACCCAGTGTTTGTCACAATTTGCTTATTTACCTCGTGACTTTTCAGGTGCCGTTTGCGGGCGAAACTTCTGCCACAAGTGGCACATTTAAATGGCTTCTCCGTCGTGTGGGTGTGAATGTGACCCTCAAGGACACCTCTGGTTTTGAATTCCCTTCCGCAAAGTGTGCACGGAAATCGGACGGGATTCTCGGAATGTTCAATCTTCGTGTGGTGCGAAAGGTGTCCCTTGGTTAGGAAGGTTTTCTCACAGCCGGGAAACGTACATGGGAAACGGGGTCGTTCCCTCGTGCTGTGAACGGTGTTTGTATGGGTACGCAAGGTTTTAGCGGAGGAAAACACCCGGTTACAGATGTCACAACGTGGTCGTTTCCGGTTATTGTGAGTACTCCAAATGTGCGAAGATAAGGCGACTATGTTTTTGGACATTTTGCCACAAATCTGGGCAACAGGGAAATATGGATTGTAAAAATTGGTAATACCGCAAATTTAAACACTCACCTCACATTTGACCTTGGCTTCATGATTGTGCCAGAGGATGTGTCTGGTCAACTCATAATTATTTTTAAACATTTTCGAGCACATTGAACATTCCCGTTTCGTTTCAGGTTTCATATTGATATGGATTCAGGATTTGTTGAGTTCCTACTGTCAAAAACAATATATTGTTTTTGAAAATGTTTTACAGTAAGTGTTTTACAGTAAATATATTTATTGTATGCACTGATTTTATTTAAGGTTGAGGACTCTGATTTAACTTCACTTCAATTTAAACTAAATACATTCTGCTCGTTTTTATTAAATATGTAAGACGAAGTGCAGTATTTAATGAATTGGTATTTTATTTGGTTAATAACTCACGTTTCTTTCTTCGAGTTAAAATTGAAAATAAATCAGGTTTTCTTTAAAATTTAGGACGGAGAGTATTTTTATTGTTGAAAGGAGGTCAAGGATGAACTGTGCGTGGTAAAAGTCAACTGCAGCAGGTGAATGGTTTGCCTGGAAGGGTAGGGATTTAAATATATCACATTTCACTTAACCCTTCATTTCCCTTACTGTGGCCTGAATAGGAATGTGGGGTCCTTCATGCATTACATTACATAATTACGCAACTCACTCTTTTCTCTCTTCACATCTTTATGCATTTGTCTTCCGTTACATATATACATACACACTTTTGTATAAATCTGATGAAAAGCATAGATGCACCAATTGTACACTTTATTAGCAATGTTTTTCGGAAGCTGTATGCTTTGAATGTCCACGAATAATGTATGTAAGTAAATTAAAAATTTGCACCCTTAAATGGTGGATATTTTTAAACCCGTGAAAGGTCTCTGCACAAAATAGGCATAAGCGAGATTGGGCATAGTTTGCCCAATGTCGTTGTAAGGTAAGTGCATAGCTAATTAAGTTTAATTGATCATTTGCACAATGTTTTTATCATGATTGATTTTTTATACGATCTATGTATGACACACAATTTCTATCTAAAACTTAGCAAGCTTGTGTTTTGTCTTGATTTACTTCCTACATATTACCATACAGGTGAATTTTGACAAATCTTTTTCATGCATTTCACGTTGAGTATATTTCGCCCTGAATTTTTATTGGGGTGAAACACCGCAGGCACAATTCATGTGGAACCTTTATGATTGTTCACTTCTAAAATAGAGTTACCTTTTCTCGAACAACTTATACATAGGTATGGGTAAAATTTTAGGCATCGACCTCTCAGAGGCTTACAAATATTTACCAGCTATACACTGATGGTTGCATTGCAAATGCTCAATTTTCATGACAAGGGGCCGTTCAAAATGTATTGCTTTAAAAATATTGCTAATAAGGTGTATGCATGTATAATGCGTACTTCTCATTCCATGCACCAAAATGTAGGTATATGATTTCCTTCTACGTAGAAAGATATGTATGACTGAATGGCCATTACGGTAATTATGTGAGTACGTAATTTATGATGGGCCCTGTAGTTCAGTCCATATGTATTGAGGGAAGGGTTAACTGGTGAGAGAAATGTTCTTGTGTCCAAAACTCGCGACCCTTTTTGTGTAAACCATTCACCTGCACTTGTCTCCGGATTCTTCCAACGCACACTTCATCCTCAATCTTCCCTAAATGAAAATATCGTTGTAAACTTTAGTGCAGAACTGATTTATTTACAATCCAAAGACGAAGATCAACGCGAGTAAGCAACTTACCAAAATAACTTTTTACAGCCTTTTCAACTTAAGCCCTTATTCACCAAAGATTTTTCACTTTGTCTTAAACTTATGTAAACGAGCGGAGTTAATGTGATTTAAATAAATTCGTGAAGTTAAACCAGAATCATCAAACGTTAAATAAGTTCGCATGGGGCATAGTATAATTTTATGAGAGTGCAAACTCAACAAGTGCCGACATGAAGGCCGGAAAGGAATGCTCAAAGTGCTCAAAAACGTTCAAAACCAACCAAGCCTTGACCAGACACATGGTCACGCACGATTCCGATGCCAAGGTCAAATGCGAGTTGAGCGTGTACATAAATTGCTTAAAAGCCAAACTAATCTTACAATCCACATTCTCCACGGGTATCTTTGCTAGGTTTGTGGCATGATTTTAAAAAATAGACACGCCTTGTCATGCCACACGTGGAGAGTTCACAGCAACCGAGAACGGCCAAGTTGTGACACGTGTCACCGGGTGCTTTCCAGTTCGGCCAGCTTACGCGGACATATTGACACCTTTCACAAATCGAAAGAACGGCCCCGTTTGCCATGTGCGTTCCTTGGTTGTAAGAAAAGTTTCCTAAACAAGGGTGACATGGCGAAACACGTGAAGATTGAGCATTCCCAGCATCCGGTCAGATTTCCGTGCACCCTATGCGGAAAGACGTTCAAAACGTGGACTGAGTTTCAGACTCACATTCCCACCCACACGACGGAGAAGCCGTACAATTGTGCCACGTGTGGGATGAACTTTGCCCGAAGAGGAGACATGAAAAGCCACGAGGTACGTAAATAATCTTGTTGAAGGCAAAACTTGAACGTTAGACAAGAACATGCAGATGAGTAATTTTAGCTTGGTCGTAACCTATAATTTTGCAGATGACGCATTTGGAAAAATCTACCCGAGCCGTGTTACAATGTCACGTCTGTCCTCAAGCCTTCTTAACTCGGGCCGGTCTGCAAAACCACGTCCGAGTTTCGCATGAAAATCAGAGGAATTATCCGTGCACATTTTGTGACAAGAGATTCTCCTTCTCAAGAGACTTAAAACGTCACGTGGACGCTAAACACGCCGCGAACAACGAACCGATCCATTCCTGCGACAAGTGCGAGTACAGGAGCTACTCGAAGCATAATTTGGCCCTGCACGCGAGACGACATAAGGCAGCGAGGTATGGATGCTACTTCTGCGGGGAGAAATTCGTCGCTTTTAGAGAATTGGTCAAACATTTCCGAATTCATACTTTAGAAAATTGAAATACACGTGATTATAATTTGCATATAAATATTTAATATTTGAATTTTTTCTGAATTTGTGACATTTGGTAAACGTTTTTGGGATTGGATTTTTGTTAGAAATTTGGCAAAATAATAAACAGAAATAAGAAAAATAAGAACAAACATGTTATGGAGGCGGAGGTTGTTTGGTGGAGGCGACAACAAATATGCCTCAAACCCCTCGCAATAAGTCAGATTGCTGAATTTGGAATCATAAATTAGTCATAAAATGTCTTGAATTTGGTCGAAAATGGTATGCAATAATGAATAATTATCATTGATTCTGAAGTACATAACTTAACGTGACTATGATCTATTTTGGAATGTGTTCATTTGCTAAATAAATATATACCGGGCAAATGTAGCGCAAGAAAATTTCTGGACTTGATTATTTAAAAAATACATAAAGCAACATATTCACCTCATGACTGAAGCAGCAAATGGACACAACTGTCCCAAGAAATTCAAAATTAAACGCATGATTTATTAATGCTCCCTAACGGATGGCCAGTTCATTTTATAACTTTAGGAATGGAGGAAAACCAGGCAAAAGGTTGTCGTTCCTTTTCGCATCGATTGTAATTTAAAAAATTGTTATTTTGAATTCTGGGTGTGACGATCAATTTTGCATATCTATTTTTAAATTATATGCAACCACACCCCCTGTGAAAATATGGGAAACAAATTTGGAAAAATGCGAATGTCAATGTACACTCGGTGAAGTAAGCATTAGACCTCAAGTTGCATTTGACATTTGAATTCCCTTATGAATATAAATATTTTGATGCATTCAAAGTTTCAAAATTCGAAAATTCGCGGTTTTTTTTGCGTATACATAAATCGCTAGAAAACTCGGGTGTGCACAACTTTGCAGTCTGACAACCTGATGCCAGATTTTCCTCCTAGGGATAAGCTACATTTTAAGCTTTTGTTGTCCGCCTGCAAAGTTGTGCACACCTGAGTTTTTTGGGATCAAAGTTTCCGGGGGAGGGGCCTCATAACGCAAGTAACGTAGCATACAGCATACTTAAAGTAACAAGTATTCTTCTCGAAAAGTTACGCTACGAAGCTTATCATTGTATTCATCAATTTTTTAGATAAGCAATATTTAGTTCATCCAAATCGAGAGACAGTGAGACAAATAGGGCACTGTGGTAAAGACGATCAGCAGTGGTGGTGGACATGCACCAGAATCCGAGTTTTTGTCTCACTCTGCCTCTCTCTCGCCACAAATGGAAATCAAATTTTCGACTCCTGTTCATTTGGTTTTCCTCAATGTTCAAGTTTTCACTCATTGCTCGTGAAAAAACGCAACCTTTTCTCACAACACGACCGAACCTTTTTGTGGTCACTTGCTCCCAAGCATAGAATGAAGAAGCAACAATTAAATAATATTACACATTATGCTTACTGGTCGTAACTCCTTTTAAATTGTGTGAAGTCTTATCAAAACATTGTTAAAATACTTTTTAATTATATGGATATTTAACAAACAAAATTTGTTTAACCGTATAAATTTTTGCGAATGTGCATACATAAATCTACAAATTCAATAAATCCAGTTTCCAGATGGATCTACAGCCAGGATAGAAAATGCAATGTTCCCAGTCCTCAAAAACGTTTAAAACCAATAGAGACTTGGCTTCGCACATTGTCACGCACGATCCCGATGCCAAAGTCAAATGCGAGGTGAGCATGTAATTTGCAAAGATGTCAATCTATATTGTCCACATTTTTCCACTTGTTTCCTAACTAGGTTTGCGGCACAACTTGCAAACATAGCGTTTCCTTATATGTCCACACTAGCGTATAAGCCCGTCTCCCGCCGGGCGAGAGCGTATTTGATTTTCGTGAAAATTAAGTCGGATTTTTCATAATTCCAACGAATTATTTTTTTATTATATCTATTTATATAATTAGCTGGAAATGCATGTTGGCGAGGAATTGAAACTTTTTCCAGTTTTACTTCCGTCACGGAAAATTACTTTCACTTCCGTTGCAGACAGACATTTCCAGCTTATAATAAAGATATTCTTGACATTTGTATTCCTCATATTCTCAATATTCTTGATATTCCTAGTATCTCTGACGGTCTTGACATTCTCAATATTCTTGATATCCCTGATATTCCTAGTATTCTTGATATTCTCGAAATTTATGATATTCCTGATATTCTTGATATTCTTGATATTCCTGATATTCTGATATTCATGATATTCCTAATATTCCTGATAGTCTTGATATTCCTGATATTCCTAATATTCCTAGTATTCTTGATATTCCTGATATTCCTAATATTCTTGATATTCTTGATATTCCTGATATTCTTGATATTCCCAACTACCAAGCTGAAGGTGGCACCAAACTTTCCATGAACTCACTTCCACTTCACTTCCACAGAAGTGACTCGTTTTGTATCCGAGATGAAACCCCACTTCCACTTCACTTCCACTTCACTTCCACAGAAGTGACGAAACTCTGAATCTAACTAATTTCCAATTCACATGACAAGTGAAATAACCACCCAGCATAGCTACTATTAGACAACCACTCCCAGATAAGCACTCTCAGACAACAACTCCCAGATAAGCACCATCAGACAACAACTCCCAGATAAGCACCTGGTGCTTAGCACCATCAGAAAACCACTCCCAGATAAGCACCATCAGACATCCACTCCCAGAGAAGCACCATCAGACAACCACTTCCAGATCAGCACCATCAGACAACCACTTCCAGATTAGCACCATCAGACAACCACTCCCAGATAAGCACCATCAGGCAACCACTCCAGATAAGCACCATCAGACAACCACTCCCAGATAAGCACCATCAGGCAACCACTCCAGATAAGCACCATCAGACAACCACTCCCAGATAAGCACCATCAGACAACCACTCCCAGATAAGCACCATCAGACAACCACTCCCAGATAAGCACCATCAGACAACCACTCCTAGATAACTAACATCTAACTCGTAATTTTTGAATTTTTAATTTGTTTTGAAATTTCGCGCCATTCGAAACTTAACTTTCTCCACTTTCACTTCCGTCACGGAAAATTATTTCACTTCCGTTGCAGAAAGACATTTCCAGCTTATAATATAGATGAGGAGCAACATGAAGAACAGCAACCGGAAGCGACCAAGTTGTGAAACTTGTAACCGCGTGTTCTTCAACCTTCCCACTTTACGGAAACATATTGACACTGTTCACAGCACGAAGGAGCGACCTCGTTTTCCATGCACGTTTCCCGGCTGTGAGAAAACCTATCTGGCAAGGGACACCTTTCGCGGCACATAAATGATGAACACGCCCCGAATTCGGTCCGATTTCGGTGCACACTTTGCGGAAAGGAATTCAAAACGAGGGGTCACCTTGACCAAGGTGACCCCGTTTCGTTTCGGTGACTATTGAATGGATATTTTGTAGCAAAATATCGGCGGCAAAGGTAATATAATATCGCTGAGTAGGATTTTCAAATTCCTTCTGTTATCTCTGACAAATACAATTAATTAAAAATTCAATTAATCGAAAAATTAATTGCAATTAAAAATGTGCAGATTTTTGGGATTCTGACGCCATTGATATGACGTATGTAATGAGTCATCGAGTCTCACGTACATATCAAAACGCATTTTTTCGCACCGCGCGAACCGAACCCGCATCTTATACTTATTCACTACTCCCAAGCAACTTCAGTGATTAAGAAATCTTACAAACACTCGGTAAGCAACGCAATTTGACAAATCGCGGTTAAACGAGTAATAAAATAGCAATTTTGTGGTAAATATTCATTGCTGTCAGTAACATTTACCCGGACGTGCTTTATGTTCCAAAAATTAACGAAACACTGAATACAATACACAATTTTTCTTACAGATACTAAATAACAGCTGTTTCGGCACATCAAGTTTTTGCCAATCTACGGACACAACAAATACGGAGTCAATATGGATCTGAAGCCAGGAAAGAAACCGAAATGCCCCAAGTGCTCCAGAACGTTTAAAACGGATAAACAATTGACGAAACACATGGTCAAGCACGAGCCTAATGTCAACGTCAAATGCCACGTGAGCTTGTAAATTTAATAACGAAACTAATTTCACAATCCACATTTCTGTATTGCTTAGGAATGTGGGAAGATTTCAAAAACCAGACTCGCCTTATATCTCCACGTGCGGAGTGTTCACAGCACCCGGGAGCGACCAAGTTGTGACACGTGTCACCGGGTCTTTTTCGATCTTCCCACTTTACGGGAACATATCAACACCGTCCACAATCCGAAGGACCGGCCTCATTTCCCATGTACGTTTCCCGGCTGTCAGAAAACCTACCTAAACAAGAGACACCTTTCGCGGCATGCAAATTCTGAACATGCCGTGAATCCGGTCCGTTATCCGTGCACGCTTTGTGGAAAGGAATTTAAAACCAGTGCTCACCTCGAGCGTCACATTTCCACCCACACGACGGAGAAGACGCACAATTGTGCCACTTGTGGGAGGAGTTTCGCCCAGAAATCGGAAATGAAGCTTCACGAGGTAAAAAATCACGATGTGGAAAAAACTAAATAAGTGAAAAATTATTAATTCGCATATTCATTTGCAGAAAACGCATTTGGAAAAATCTACCCGAGACGTGTTAAAGTGTCATGTCTGTTCTCAGGCCTTCATAACTAGACGCGGTCTACGGCGCCACATCCGAGTTGTTCATGAAAATCAGAGGAATCATCCTTGCGAATTTTGTGGCAAGACTTTCCCGAGTGCCAAAGACTTGGAGCGTCACGTGGAGGCGAGGCATGCCGAGAATAAAGACCCCATCCATTCCTGCGACAAATGCGAATACAGAAGTCACTCGAAACACAATTTGACTAGGCACGCAAGACGGCACTGGCCTGCGAATCACGAATGCTACTTTTGCGGGAAGAAATTCCTCACTTTACAAGAGTTGGTGAAGCACTCCAATCGCACTCATACCTTGGAAAAGTAGGAATGATGTAGATTTGTGAGTATGGATTGTTTGGATTCGTGATGGAGCGTTAAACTAATTGATAAATACATAGCATGTAGGATTCATGTAGCAAAATACCATTTAAGCAATGACATTTAAATAAATGTATGCACTATGCATGTATTCAAAATATGGGTACTTGTGTCGAACGCTAATTTTCGTGATGAGCCTACAATGCAACATTTCTTTAGCCCGAGTCATTATGGAATCTTGAAATGTCACATTAAAGGAGATCCGCGAACAAAAGCCCGCAACACTTTATACATAAATCAGCACGAAATGCTTTTGTCAACATTTTTGCATTTTATTACACTTTTGGAACAGGCTTACAAAAGTTGTCAAAAATTAACATTCACAAATCGGTCAATGAAACGAATGCTACAAAATTACTGCATACGGATACCAAGAACATACACGTTTTAAAACCTACGAAACGGACTTCTCCATAGGAGATTCCCTAATAAATTTTTACTTCTCTAAAGTGTGAATCCGACCAAAGTGTCTCACCAATTCTGGGAAGCTGGCAAACTGCTTCTTGCAAAAGTAACACTCACGCCAATTCGAAACATCGTGACGCTTCACGTGTTGAGCTAACTTTCCTTTTGCATGACTTTTGTATTCGCATTCGGTGCAGGTGTAAATCTTCTTATCCGGGTCGTGTTTCGCGTCCACGTGATTCTTCAAATGTGAGGGACTCGAGAAACTCTTTTCGCAAAATGTGCACCGATGATTCCTCTGCTTTTCATGAATAACCCGAATGTGCCTCTGGACGCCGTACTTCGTCAGGAAAGTCTGCAGACAGAGGTGGCACTGGAACGTTTCTCGGCCAGACTTTTGAGTATGAATCCTCTGTAAAATAAACATATCTTTTTATTTTGTTTAACAACTTCTTTAGGAAATATTTACCTTATGAATTGTCATGTATCTCCTGCAAGCGAAACATTTCCCACAGGTGGCACATTTACATGGCTTATCGGTCGTGTGGGTGGAAACGTGTCGGCCAAGGTAGGCCCTCGTTTTGAATTCTTTTCCGCATCGTGTGCACGGAAATCTGACCGGATTCTCGACATGTCCAGCTTTCACATGCTTCGTCAAGTCCCCTTTGGTCAAGTAGCTTTTTTCACAGCCAGGAAATCCACATGGGAAACGGGGTCGATCCTCCTCCATGTTGTGCACGGTGTCAAGGTGTTTCCGTAAATTGGCTTGGTTGGATAAAGTCTTGTTACAAATACTGCAAGCAGGTCGGATCCGGTTGCCGTGAATTTTTGCGACGTGAGAAGATAAGGCGAGTCTGTTTTTAGAAATCAGGCCGCAAATCTAGATAAGACGGAAGTGGTTGTAATTTTAAAATAAGTCCTTAATCATTAAATTGGAATTACAACTTGTTTTAAAAAGCAACCCACCTCGCATTTCACGTTTGTCTCGTGTTTCAAGAGATGACGAACAAATTCACTTTTGTAAATAAACCTCAACTTGCAAGGAGCGCAGTTCCACCACTTATTTTCTGGCTTTGAATCCATTTTGAGAATAGTAAAATTGGATTAAATTGTGATAATTTCAATCCCAAAGAATTAACGGCGTAATTTTGACCCGTTCCGGAAAGAAGAGCTGATGAGTTTTCTGGGTTTCGCGTTCACCAAGAAGTATTGGGGCAAAGCGATAAAAGATTCCTAAATACATATATTCTAGCCATAAATAAAAAAGTTTGTGGAATGACAAATTGTAAGGTCGCACATGTTAATTTGAAGGTCATCATGGTTGATAAATTTATTTAAAATGTTTCGTGTTGCATGGAACTTACACTCTAAGAAACCCGGTGTTAAATAGTGCCAAGCCATATTCATGCATGACACTTCCAATGTGGTATTGATAAGCATTACCAATATAGTAGCTTGATATTAAGGTTTTACCGTATCGGGAGACACTTCTTACGGACCGAATAATTAAGAAGGAATAACTTTAATCCGACGAAATCAACACCTGCCTGCCTATTGCCAGAATTCTAACAGTGCACACTCTAAACAAAGTTGTGTAAAATTTTACCCAACCTTGGGTAAAAAAGGGGATGACACAACCGCACTATGACCAAATTATCGCTCAAAATTCCCTGATAACAATTCTGATGATATTTTTGCATATTCCGAGCTCTGCCGTGCTTGCGACATGCTCATAAAAAAATTGGCGAGCCACACCCACTTTGGGTGTGGTTTTTTCCTAGTGTGGTTAGAGGCAAACGCCATTTCTGAAAACTGTAGCCCATGCGAATATTGACATACCGTAAAAATTTCATTCCAATCCGTTCATAAACAAAAAAGTTATGCAAGTTTAAAGCTCGGCGACAGTCAAAAAAGGCCGACTTTGGGGGGTTGGTTCTGACAGGGGGGCAAATTCAGAAAGCTGGAAATGGGTTCAAATTGAAGTCATAACTTATATCTACCCAATCCAAGAAGAACGGAGCTTCTGAATCTGCCCCTTCCAAGATATAAGCCCGGGAACATTGAAAAAAATCATGTCGAAATTGTCCAAATCGGGCGAATTTCATCATGTCGTAGAACAGCGAAAATCGATATCCAGCTTCACCTAGGCCTCAAAAGTGTGTCGCAAGTGAAATTAACCCATGTCGTAAGGGAACGATGTCGACATGTCGAATTTTCGATATGGAGCTAGAGCGTTCAAATTCGAAACCCATACTCTGGTAACCTTCAAGAGACATATGTGATCACTTTTTAGCATGTCGACAGCCTGTTCCGGCCAATCGCATGCACTTTTTCAAGTTTCGAAAGTTTAAAGTATATATTCGGCGATATAGGCTGTCGACATGCTAACAAGTGTTCACATATGCCTCTTGAAGATTACCAGAGTATGGGTTCCGAATTTAAATGCTCTAACTCCATGTCGAAAATTCGACATGTCGACATCGTTCCCTTACGACATGGGTTAATTTCACTTGCGACACACTTTTTGGGCCTAACTGAAGCTAGATATCGATTTTCGCTGCTCTACGACATGATGAAATTCGCCCGATTTGGACAATTTCGACATGATTTTTTTCAATGTTCCCGAGCTTATATCTTGGAAGGGGGCAGATTCAGAAGCTAGGTTCTTGTTGGATTGGCTAGATATAAGTTAGGACTTCAATTTAAACCCATGTCCAGCTTTCTGAATTAGCCCCCCTGTCCGAACCAACCCCCCAAAGTCGGCCTTTTTTGACTGTCGCCGAGCTTTAAACTTGAATAACTTTTTTTGTTTATGAACGGATTGGAATGAAATTTTTACGGTATGTCAACGTTCGCATGGGCTACAGTTTTCGATATGGCGTTTGGCTCTAACCACACTAGGAAAAAACCACACCTAAAGTGGGTGTGGCTCGCCAATTTTTTTATGAGCATTTCCCAAGCACGGCAGAGCTCGGAATACGCAAAAATATCATCAGAATTGTGCTTGGGGAATTTTGAGCGATAATTTGGTCATATTTCGCTTAGTGAACCGGTGGTTAAAATTTACTCAACCTGGTTGAGTAATTTTTGCTTAGCAAGTTGTGGAATTTTTACTCAACTAGCAATCAAAAATTGATCAATGAATGATTAAAATTCACTCATTTGGTTGATTAAAGTTTAGTTTTTATGCTGATTAAACTACAATCTTTAGCCTCTTAAAACGTCCTCTATATTTATTAGAATTTATACTCATTATACATTTTATAAAGTCTGCATTATTAAAACCAATAATTTTAAAGATACCTTGATATATTACTTACGCAAATACTAAATACAGAAAATTATAATTTTTAGACACCTTTCTAGCTACGGTCCTTAATTTAAAGGGTTAAATTTAATGCACCACCGAATAAGCTGAAATCTACCACAAATTTTAGCTGAATTCGCCACCGGATGAATTTTTTCCAACATTAGCCTTTTTAGCCACCGATTTAGATGGTGGTTACCACAAATTTAGATGAGCTGCCATTACCATATTTAATGAGCATAGGATTATAAAAGCAATATAATTTACAATGATATGATTCATTTATTTGTATAATACGTCTATATACACGTCTTTTTTAAAAATACACCTGAAATTAAATAACAATGAGCGCTTTTTTAGCTTTCGAAACCCTATTTCGCAACCCCATTCTTACGCTTTTGACCAAATGGAACGGTTTTGGGTTCCGGTCTAACATCATAAAGCGTATACTGAATTTCTAAACCAATTATTTCCTTGCGTCCCCTTTCAAGGCCCTCCAACAGAAATTTAAAATTGCTAGATGTCTCTCCAGCCGTAACGGCAATACTGATTGGGTGAAAAGTTCGGTTTTTTAAAAGACCCCCAATACTATCACAGGAAACCAGAGTGTAGGCGGATCGATGTTTTTCAAAACATCCGATTCGATTCGACTTGGTTGGATCCTTACAAAATCCAATCCGATCCAATCTGACCTGGTCGGATCCTAAAATAATCCGACCCAATCCGAGTCTATTCTGATTCGGATTGGACTGGATTAATCGGATTAACTACGATATCCTACTGTCTATAGTGTAGTCGGATTGATGTTTTTTCAAATACGATCTGATCTGATCAGACTTGGTCGGATCATAAAAAATCCGATCCGATCCAACTTTATTGGGTCAGAAAAAAATCAAGCCAGTTCTACCCTGTCGGATTCGGATTGGATTAAGGGTTATTTTTAATCCACCAGACTTTTAATTGAAATCACATAACTAAATATATTGAAATCGCATAACTTGAATTTCCAGTGCTTTAATTCAATTTAAAAACTGTAAAATTGAAATCTGCCAGACTTTTCTGAATCATACATTTTATTCAATTTGGAAGATTTGCCTTTAGAAATCTTAGAAAAACATGAGCTATTTCTTTGAATTTTTGTATAAACAAATTCTGTCAACAAGTAGGCGGCCTACCGGCCTTACCAGGGCAGACCCTGAAGGCTCAATATCCCAACAGGAACGGTCACGGCTTCCTCTCTCTCTGACGTTGAAACCATTCCAAATTATTGCAATTCCTAGACCGTAGGAAACAACGGTCCCCAGCACCCCTTCTCACTTTTAAAGGAACTAGTTTCCGGTTAACACTCCAGTTAACCTACATAGTTTGTTTAAAGTTGGAACGAGGTCATATGTCGGTGTAGAGCATTATTTTGGAATCTAACGAGAATCTCATATGCTTGAGGCTTACCATTATGTAGCTCACCAGTGGACTCGTTTTCTAAAAGTATTTTCATTTTTCATTGATTGATTCAACTACATATGTACATTATTTGTACTTGGGAATCCTGGAGCTTAGGCCCCATACTTTTGGTTAACAAATTTTGTTTCGAACATTCTTAGAAATCCAATATCCAAATAAAATCAAGTATTCATTACCAGGCTATCATAAATGTATGATTCTACCAAAGTGGTATTGATAAATAATACGGTGTAACACATAACAGTTCGTTATTAAAGTTTTACCATGTCGGTAGGAAATTATCACAGACCGGTATGATTTTAATACCAAGCGGTAGCAACTTTATAATACCGAGAAATCAATACCAGCACAAGTATACCAGATTTCTGACAGTGAAGTGGTTGCAAAATTCCTTGGTGTCTCCGATTTCTACTACTGTGCACTCCTAGATTATGATTGTATGGTTTACCACTGATTAGAAGAGCAAGGGATACCTGAACAGTAACTATTTTGATAGATTTTTACATATAAATGAATTCATAAGTTATGAAATTCCGTGTCTGATGGATTCAGTTATAGAGGTTGTTTTAAGGCATATAAAGTACTGGAAATTCAAGTTATGGAATTTCAATATATTTAGTTATGTGATTTCAATTAAAAGTCTGGCCCATTAAATGAGACCCTTGGATTAATCCGGTTAAGTTTATATTCTACTACTCTCTAAAAGAATATTAGACGCTTGGGCTTGAGTTTCTAAAATTTGGGAGAATTTCCCTAAGAAGAGAGGAAACGGTAGGTTCCTTAGTTTTCGCTCCTTGGAGGAAAAAGCAAGGAAAAATTTGATCAAAGATTGAACACGTGATTGAACACGTGAAGATTGCACACGTGTCACGTGTGCTAATTTTTGGCCTGATTTTTTGACATTTTTCGCTAGTCAATCCCGGTGTAGCTTGAGAAAAGGTTCCATTGTAAGATATTCCTCCATGTTTGCTCACCTGGTGACGTTCCATCTTTCCCTTTTGGACAAAACTCCTCCCACACGTGGCACAATTGTACGGCTTCTCCGTCGTGTGGGTAGAAATATGGTCTTTAAGGCCACCCGTCGTTTTGCATTCCTTTCCGCAAAGTGTGCACGGAAATCGGACCGGATTCTTCACATGTTCAAGGTTTACATGTTTCCCAAGATCACCCTTGTTTAAGTAGGTTTTCTCACAGCCGGGAAACGTACATGGTAAACGGGGTCGTTCCTTCGTGCTGTGAGCGATGTCGACATGTTTCCCTAAATAGGTAAGATCGAAAAAGAACCGATGACACGTGTCACAACTTGGTCGCTTCCGGTTATTGCTTGGCAAGGTTGGTTCGTGTGGATGGAAAAAAAGGGTTGCATTTTGCAATTCGAGTGACAATCTGGCACATTCCTGGATAAAAATAGCCAACCCTTCCTCGGGGACCTTGCATAAATCATA